GTTTAGGGGTTTAGGGTTTAGGGATGACGAAGTGAGGTGGGGGGGGGGGGGAATTGGGGGCCTTGGAATCTTGAGGCGACCTTAGAGAAGCCCGGATCCTGCTGCCTGAATCCGCTGCAGAAAGATGAGGGCGAGGGACTCAGGAACTTGCGCTTGAAGTCTCTGGAAGTCTCTCCGCCTACTTTTGAAGCTCTGCAAAGTATGCAAAGGCATCGAGGTCTGCAAAGACGGGCTTCGGGCCGCGTTCTGCTCTCAGAGTCTGAGGAAGGATGGTTAGGAGGTGTAGATTGGCCCTAAACCCTAAACCCTAAACCCTAAACCCTAAACCCTAAACCCTAAACCCTAGACCACCTAAGCTGGCAGGTGCGAGCCTGCCAGCAACGCGGGGCCAGTCCGTGCCTCCGGCATCAAGGGCTTGCCCTTGGTTGCGGGCGGCAGGTACCAGTTCGAGGCCTTATAAGAGCAGCATCCCAGGTTTAGGGTTTAGGGTTTAGGGTTTAGGGTTTAGGGTTTAGGGTTTAGGGTTTAGGGTTTAGGGTTTAGGGCAAGAGCAGCGCACTGACAACAATACGCAGCAGGGTTGAACATGTTCAAAACAGCAGGTGGAGCTGCGCCGCGGGGGCTCCGTGACCATTGGTTGGAGCGCCGTTTCAAGCTAAGCGTTCTTTGTTCTAACCGTTTGCTCTCACCGTTCGCATTTTGTTTAGCGCTCGTTGCCTCAAGCCATCATGTGATGTCGAAGCGTCGACTGAGGCCTTGGTTTTGCCGTCGGTTCTGGAGGGGCGCAGCGCTGCGCCAGAGAGCCGAGAAAGAGTTCCCACGAGAAGAGACGAGAGAGGCGGCCAGAGGCGAAGGGGCCCCCGAGTCGGAGTGCAAAGGCGCCGGATGCTGGGATTCTCTTCTGATGGGGAGCTCATTGGCGGCGAAGGCGACAGGGCTCTGGTTTAGCAGTATAGGACAAGTTCCAAAGGACTCCCAGTTGAGCTGCAGCATGTTTGGTACTGGTGATCATCATGTGATCTGGTGAGTAGTATATGGCAGCAGGCCCGATGAGACCTGTTCCCGCGTTTGGTCGACCCGGCGACATTGCACGGGCCTCAGCCATGAAGATTGAACAGCCGAGTTCTGCTTTAGGATGCCCACTTGATCATTCCCATCCCTCAAGCCATCTCACGCCCAGTGTCCGGAGAGCCTAAAAACCCTTGAAGGTCGGAGCACTTCTCGATTGGCCGGAGGATGCTTGCGGTGGCGTGGATGCATCCAGATGATCTGTATACCTGAATGGGATCCCCGCCTGTGTCTGAGGCCCTCGCCTGGCCTTCATGTTGAATGGAAAGTTTCTGGGAATTGCATTTGATTTCGTACGAGAAGGCAACTGGGCCGAGCAACGCGCGTATTGCAAGCTTGCGATGTTGTAATGCAAGCCGTGCTTTGGAGGCATCTCAGCACCTCCATTGCAGCCTCACATATGCCAGGGGTCTCCCTAGCTTGTCATTGAGACCTGCAGACATCTGCACAAGCCATGGATGACTTGGCACAGCCAGACACACCATGAAAATTCACCTGGCAGGAATGGCAAGCCATTCAGCATCCTGCTGCGTGGTGCCACGAACCAGGTCCAGTTTTTGAAAGTCTGTATCTGCATGTTTCACTCTTTGTTTCACTTCGCTTCAAATCAGCGAGGTGCCCTTGAGGTTTCCCATGGCTGGCTTCAGACCACTGGGTGCGGAACCTATGACCTACGAGGTGTATGACGCTTGTACAGCATGTACGGTTTAGCTCGATGAACGTGGCCGAGGTTCGGTGCTGGAGAGACACTTTTCACCGTTCAGCAAAGCAGTGGAGCTTGCTGGAGCCTTAGCACATGTTTATAAGTCTCAGTACGTCTAAGCAACATCGCCCGACTTTGGCTCCATGGCAGCATCTGCGAAGCATCGGGTTCAGGCAACGGCTGCTGACGAGCCCATTCTTGACCGGCAGCTCAAACAGCCTCGGTCCCAGACCGCCAACTTGGGCAATTTGGTACGAGTGATGTGTGCAGTCTCCGAAAGACGTCCCGAAATTGCCCACGGTCTACCAGCAGGGTGTGTGTGTGTGTGTGCGACCGCAGCGCAGGTGATGTTCAAACAGATTCTTTACATGTTATTGCGAAATATTCCCCCCCCCCCCCCACCCCCGCAGAGTGAAGAGTGCATAAAAGGCCCTGCAAACAAACCCTAAACCCTAAACCCTAAACCCAAAAAACCCTAAGCTTCTGAGATTTCTGGAGGCCTCCTGCAGCAGCGCGGAGGTCCATCGGCTCCCGGCCCTTCGAAACCCCTTGAAATCCTACTTAAGCCCTTCGAAGATCCAGCACCCTTCAACTACCTTTTATCCAGAATACCAAGGTATATGACCACCCCCCCTTTGTGAAGGGTAGTTGGGGGGGGGGGGGGGGGCAGAATTATTAAGAACGGAAACGCCCTAAGCCGTTCAGGGTCAACGGTCAACTGGGCCTGGGGTTGAAAGATTGCATAGTGCGACTTGTTTTAGGTAGACTTGATGTTGTGCGTTTATGTGGGGGGGGGGGGAATTGTAGATGAACCGACTGGAAGCTTGGTCAAAGCTAGTTCGGAGCGCAGGACTTGGGGTTAAAGGGTTTGGGTTTTTGAGCAGCTAGAAGCACCAGGTTCTGGTGAAGTTATTATATGTCTTAATTGCAGAAACCTAAACCCTCTAACCCCTAGTCTCCAGAAGGTAATTTTACAAAAGAGCCCGTGCAATCTACTTTTCGAGCCGCGAATGGTCAGCGGAAGGGTTCCGCGCAAAGAAAGCAGATGATTTCCTCTTTAACTTCATCGAGTATGCCAAGCTCAATGAACTATGTCATGTGCTTTGGCTTGCGAAGACAATCCCTGCGGGGCAGGTATACGTCTTTTCTTGTCAGCTTCCCTTACACTGCGTAGCAAAAGCCGTGGTCAGACGCCTCCGACATGCTGGGCGGGGCTTGCATATCAGTGCCGGCACAGGCTGATCCACAGCAGCTTGGGTTTGGCCCTGCCGCTGCCGCACCTCGCCCAGGCCAGGGCAAGTCCGATGCCGGACACTGCAGGTGCAGTCACTGCGGCGCAAGATGTTGCTCTGTGCTGTTTCTATGCTTCGCATCTGAAGTTGTTTTTCTGCGAGCACGTGAGTTCAAGACATTTTTGCAGCTTCCATGCAAGCGTGCTTTCAGTTTCGCATCATGGAGCTATTGCTCTATGTGCAGTGATGTTGGCAGCAGCTACTGCATCCATGACCCGCCACCTGGTGCTCCAGATCAAAGTAGGTCGAGCACGCAGTGGGGCTACAAAACATTGACCACTCGTTACTGGTGCAACAAAGATCATCGACCGTTTCTCTCTCACACACGCAGGTTTGATCGTCCCAGCATGCTTGCCGTGTGTGTGTGTGTGTTGGAGTGAAAGGGACATGTTGACGTGTTGGTGACGGTGGAGGGGAGCTGCCGTCCTCGTGGGGCAGCGTTTGCAGATCCGTACTCGTAGATCTGGCTCACTAGGCAGTCGGCCCAGCCCCCTCGTAACGAACCTGGATTCCTGCAAGAAAATCTGTTCCGCATTCGAAATTCATTGACAAAATTGGTGGGCGTCTGCGCGTGCAAAATGCACGGACTGCGTTGTTTCCATCTTGTACATGACTTGAAACCGTCCAAGCTGTTCTTCCTATGATGTTCTTTGAGGGCCGAATCCAGCATTTCTGTTTTTCTTCATCTCATGAATCAGCATTAACATGAATTCGGCATCTGTCCACAGCATCTTTGCCTGGGGAACAGTAGTTTCTATAGCAACCGACAATGCAAGACCGATTCTCATGACAAGTCGCACGCCTCGCGCGTGCTTCATGTGTGTACAACAAGTTGGCTCACGAGCGGCGCAAATAGAATCTTGCAATTCTCATGCTGCTGGCAATGACACGCGCAGTCTCCACGCTGTACATCCCTTGGACCTGTGCGGCAGGAGCGTGTCTGTTGCACTGCTGCTGGCAAAAAGCGCTGGGCCTGGCGAGAGCGAGCATGGTTGCAGCAATTGACGGTGCGCACAGCTCTTTTCCTAAGGGTGAGAGTGGTGACGAGGCCAGACTCTCAGCAGCTCCAGAGTGCTCGTCCTGAATTGTAGGCAAAGTATATGCTGGAGCTGCTTTCCATTGCTTTTCCCTTTTGCCTTCTCGATTCTCGTTTTTCAAACGCGTGCAGGCCGTGCCTTGACGAAAGTGCGTTAGTGCGTAGTTGTGCGCCCCGGAGGCAAGACGACCCAGAAGACTGAGACTGAGACTCGGTCACTTCCGAGCAGCGCGGTGTGGCTCCAGAACACGAAGAAGACTGAAGCTTCGGAGACAGTCGAGGACAGCATGTCATGGTCGCCAAAGATTCTCGCAGACCATGACACAGTGCACACATGTGCCAGAGAGTTTCACCCCACATGGTCGCCAGATCGCCAGCCCGAAATACAAACATGCCTGCATCTGCATCCCGCTTCTTGCTGGCCATACCGTAGATGCTGACTGAAAGAGAGGTCAGCAGAAAGGGAGCCCGACAGCGGAGGGAGGTCAGCTGCATTGACAGGTGTCCACGGAAAGACCTGTGAAGCCCCAGTTCCGGAAGGATGTGAAGTGCCCCTGCATGGACTACGAATCAGCATGCTTTCGCCCGGCTTCGGGTAGATTTCGACTTTCGCCTGCTGGCTGGGCTGCTGACTTGTCATACCAGCGCGGCAGCGACTACTTGAAGCGACTGCATGCAATGCAACCTAGTTTCAGTCTGCAAGCTGTCTGACAGCCTGGCTCCGGAGGACTCAGCTCAGCCACTTTACCAGTCCATCGTCATGTGGGGTGCTGGGGTTGTCCGACATGGGGGTACATTCATGGAGATTCTTCTATGTTTTACTTCACGGGCTCCTGTTTGTTTGTGTTCCCAAAAAAGAAGGGATCTCGACTGTCGAAATTTCCATGTAGACCCATGATGGATGGGAAGAAGCGTGGCTGCCTTTGCAGAGTCCTTGAAGACAAACGTTTCCCTATACTTTCCTTTTCTGGTCTACTACCAGATCTCCTACTACAAGCAGGGGACTCAGAAGATCTCGGCGGCGTGTTTTGTAGGGTTCAGGGGTTCAGGGTTTGGGGTTTAGGGTTTGGGGTTTAGGGTGCTTGACTTGGCAGCTGCTCCTGTCCGAGGTCTTCGATCTTTGACCTCCAAGAGGTCGGGCAGCTGGCACGCGATGGCTTTCCCGCGCGAGCCCAAGAGTTGGATCTATGCATCAACATGCATCATACCCCTGGTCCCATTCACCCCGTCTTCAACTCCTCTACACAGCCGACTGAGACACGGGACCACTTGCTCTGGTTCATTTTATTTGTTCCTGTTCTTCGCTTGACAAAAATTGGTGTACTGGTACCAAACAGATGCAGTCGTCCCACTGCTGCCACCTGCGCAATTCCACAATGCCACTGCGGTGCGTGGTCCGAGGCTGACGTTCAGACAGTTCTGGGGCCTTCCTTACCGGCAGCCTCCTTGACCTTGAAAGCCTTGGTCTCTGCTGCGTGGACCTGAGAGGGGATCGCCAGCTAGACTGGCGTGCAGAAAGTGCTCAATTGACAAGCAACTGCGATCGCAAGACAACGCACGCGTATCTGCCGATGTCTGCTGTAAATGAAGCGGAGTTGGATACCCACCCTAGACGATCTACGTCTAGAAATCATAGTATATATGTATGTATTATATTATTTTCTTTGTTGGTTTATTTTGTTGTTTATTGTGGTCACCCCCCCCCCCCCCCGACAGACCAAAGCGGGAGTGACTTTCTTGTTTTGGATGTATGTGTATACAAGTCAGCATATGCTGCACAAGCGTTATGCTTGATGTTTCAGAACAGACGGCCCACTTTAGAACATCGCATGTTAATAATAATAATAAGTTACTTAGTTCAAATTGGCTGCATAGAGCTTTCGAGGTATCCACTATACTACTGTTTTGGTTTGGTGCATCAGTTCTGCCAATCAATGCCCTTCATTCTCTCCCAGTATTCTGGCCATCAAACAAGATAGTATTCAACCTCCAGTTATGTTAGCCAGACTGTCAGAACATATTTGCATTTCAACTTGGGGTGCGTGACTAATATGACTACTTCGCTATAAGTGTTGAAGGCGCATATGTCGCGCAGTATGTATGTGCATGCAAGGCAACATATGTGGTGCACGTGTATTGGATTTTGCATTTATCTTTGTGATTTGTGTTCATGACAAGTGGCCTCGACTTCGGGGTAGTACTATCCAACAGTTGATGAGCAGAACTCATGGAGCAACATGTTAAATCGTCTTAGCCTCCCCCACCCCCACCCCCCCCCCGCAGTTCAAATGTTGAATGGCTTAACTAGTTTCGTTATTTTAAAGGATTGCAAGGTCAGGTAGAAGGTTTGCACAACTTGTAGTATTAGCCGGCATCCTTAGATACGCAGAAATGCAAAGTTGTCCTTCATCATCTTCTAGTACTCCCGCCCTTTTGAAATAGAAGAATGTATGCAACGTCAATTAGTTCAAGCAACTTAAATACGTGCTTTTCAACTTGGCGTCCTAAAATCTAGTTCGTAAAAGTTTCATCCTTTACATTCGGTTCATGCAATAAACAGCATTCTTTAGTTACAAGTCATTTGTCATTCTGAATGAATGATTTAACATAAGCAGCCGCCATTACACCGAACACGGCTTTCCACTTCCCACTGTGTTTGTCAATCCCGTGCTCCAGAATGTTCCTCCTTCCGCTTCTTCGACTTTTTCGCCCTCCGATTCTACGTTTCGGTTCCTGGATGTGCCTGTCCACTTTCTCCTTCCCAGGTTCCACTTTTGTTCGACGTGTGCTTTTAGGCTTTCCACATCCCTTCCATGTACCCCCCCCCCCCCCCGCCTCCGAACAAAGGTCAAAAGTGGAAAGTGGAAAGGCCTTCTCATGGGCCCATACTGGAAAGTGTACAGTGGAAAGGGCATAATTAGACACAAAACAGAAAGTGTCATTCGGAAGGACACATCTGTTTCATTTCTGTGTGTTTTTAAGAGTGGCGGTCTGTGGTGGGGGGGGGGGGGGGGGTGGGGTTCCAATACAAGCAGAGAGATTCAGTAAAAACAAGTGTGTTTTTACATATGCGCAGGCTTTTATGCCTTGAAACAGGGGATTTGTCAGGCTCTCATTGCAGCTGATCCAGATGGCATCTCGCCGCGCTCGAACTGGCTCTTGGTGGACGAGCCGGTGCAGTCCTGGCTAGGTCCGGTCTGCAGGCTGCTTAAACGAGCACTGCGTCTTCGCAGTATAGGTGCGATTCGCCTCAGGCCTGAACTGGTATCACGAAGTCGGCGACTGCTTGCACCTGGTGAACGAAACCTGTTGGCCGCTCTTTGGGGCCGCTTCCTTACTTGCAACGACAGGGGCAGGTTCAAGATGCGAGAGAGCAGTAGGCCAATCAGAGTGTGCAAAGTTTAGCTCCAAAAAAATCGAACTCCTCTTCCCCCCCCATCTTAAGGGCAGCAGCTCTTCATCTGAGAGAGCCCTCTCTCAGTGACTCAGAGAGAGCTCTCTCTGAGAACCTCCTCCTCCTCCTAAGGCTCTGGCCATGCTCAGGGACTCGGCCTGGCCGGTCAGCCCTACCGTGCGGCTATGCTCGGAGGCAGAAAACTTCCGCAATGAATGAATATGAATATGAATATGAATATGAATATGAGTTTGAATATGATTATGAATATGAATATGAACATAAATATAAATAAAACATCACATAAGTAAGTAATACTGTATACATACAATACATATATTGGAAGTTTCAACATGTCGGTTCAGAGGAGACTGCGAGCCATTCTCGATCCCGATTGCATGCCAATGGTAGCACTACTGTAGGAGGGTCCGAAGAGCGGGATGCTCCTTGTCGCAAGAGTCGTGGGGGGATTCTGCGACAAAAGCTGGGAGATGCGATGCGCTGCCAGAATGGGAGGCTTAGGAGATGATCTCCGAAAATCTCAATACTTGAAGCCCCAACTAAGGCCACTCAATGATGCCCGACTCTGCCTAGCGAAGCATGTTGCTCTCCAGGCTTCAACATCTTTCTGGAGGGAGTTGCGGCTGGCACTCAGCTCATACCAGGCCGGCCTCTTTAGAATTTGTCCGTGGTGAAATCTGAAACTCTTCTTGGTGCAGAAGAGCATTACAAGGCGGTCCCCTTACTCGCCAGCTTGGAATTGTTGGAGTCGCCGGAGGAGTGTCCTCAGCTCATGCCAAGCCACTGCAAGGCGGCCTCAGAGCCCTCTGCTGAAATGCTCTCCGAGGCCCCTCGAATGTCATTCTTCGTGCAGATGCAAAGCTGGCCGTGGCTGATTGGGCAGCGGCCCTGGCCAGGGGTTGCTGATATGGGACACCCTAGAGTCTTGCACATCTTGCAGGCACGGCGTGAGAGTTTGCAAGAAGGCCCGAAGTGCATGATCGTTGAATGTCACTGTAAGCCGGGAGAGTTTGACCGAGCAGCCTGGCAGGCGGTGCATTGGAGGGTGTCGGCGCAGCGATTGAAGACGCCAGCTACCTGAACATGCCGCAGCTTGACTTGTCATTCTACTCCCAGCTGCGACGGTTGAAGTTGAGGCTCAACTTCTGATTCGGCAAGTTCTGGGAGGACGTAGTTTCTAGCGCTTCTGCAACACACCTCCCAAGCTGCATCAAGCTACCCGAACCTACTGAGCTGCTACTGTACCTGGGAGGATCATCACTGCTGGGGATGGATGAGCTTTCGGCCTGGCCGGGTGGTTCGGAGCTCTTCTGGCTCCTGGACAGGCCAGCTCATCATCCCGAGTTCAGGTTGGCATCATGCTGCAGTGGCAGGCTTCAGTGCGCGACGGAAGTCCTGATACGCTTGCAGAAGGGCCGTGCCTTTCTGGGAGTCTGCACCCCAAATACAGCAGCCGCCCTGAGCGCAGCAAGAATTTGCATTCAGTGGTCTGAAAGGCCGAAAACATTGGCATGAGAAGCGATGCCGACATCAGCTACACGTTGCTCCTTTTTCCATATCGAGAGCTGGTATCGGACTTCATTCGCGCCAGACGAGTGCCCTACTGCAACGTGCAGCCGACATGAGTTGCTGTGTCTTTGCTCAAGTCTACTGTCGTTGCAGCTTCTTGACGGCCCCGCAGCAGCGATGTTTGCCTTTCGGCGTGAGACTTGATGGAAACGACACTGAACGTCTGCTGCAGCCCTGTCGGCGCACACTTTTCACCATATCCCAGTGCTGAGACAGATGGGAAGATGCATGCTCTTCATGATCAACATCCATTCAAGCAGCCCACCGCGACCGAAAGCACTGCGAAGTTTTCTTCTGCGCTTGGCACAGTCGCCTGTGGTTCTCTCATGTTCTCTCGAAGAGAGGTCTAAAATCTAAAGCAGTCTTGCAGGGTTGAGGCCTCCTGATGTTTGCTGCGCAATGCTGCGCACGCCCAGTAAAACATCCAAATTCCTTTCACCAATTTCATGGAACCTTCACTTTCAGGTGCAATCTCTATTGCAATCCCATTAAAATATTTCAATGCTTCATAATTCCATGTGAGGTTTCTTAGGCAGGGTGCTCATTCTATGGCTGGTCTTGCAGAATGGCACTGTGCAGTACTTTTTCCTCCCTCATCCCTCCCTCCCTCCCTCCCTCCCTCTCTGTCTCTGTCTGTCCTGCCAGCATCCGCAGTTGTTTTGCCGCCGTGTCGTGCTGCCGTCTCCTTGCAGTCGGTGTTTTGGTCTTATGGACTGACACACCGACACACGCAACACTGCTCATCGCACTCCCCAGGGAGACGTGCAGGGAGGGTTTGGGGCATGCCAGTGCATGAGGCTTTTTTGGACGGGGATGGTGGGGCTTGTCTATGTTGCAATTGAAGCAGAAGTCTGGGCAACTTTGGGAACAGTCCCTCGAATCCATAAGGCTCACATGTGCTTTGGCCGGTCTAGGGTTCAAGATTCGAAAAGCTCGTGTCAAGCGTTTGCAACTGCTTCATGGGCATGACCTGCCACCTGCGGTGACCCTTGAAGCATGTTAATCCCCTACCCCCCTAACAGTAAAAACCCCCCAATATACTATGACATAACTATAGTGGGGGGGGTATTTAATATTAGGGGGAGGGGATTAAGTGCCTTGGCACTGGGGTCAGTTTCGAATTGGCCAGGAGTCGATTCTGCGCGAAGTGGAGAAGCTGGCGAGCCGGCTGCAGAGTGCCAGGGCCCACAAGGCATCTGAAGCACTCTGAGGCTGTGTTTCGTTCAGGGACGCAGGGCACAGGGGCACTGTGTGCCTGGATCTTTGCAGGTGCGCGTCGTTGAGGTCGGGGCGAATCTCGGCGATTGCTCTCTTTGGATTGTGCCACCCTCAGAAGCGTTGCTTGATGTTGCTTGTCCTTGCTTGTACGGCTCTCGACTATGCTGCTGTTGCGTTGTGAGAACGACACGCGCTGGAACTGCTCCATATTCTCGTAATCGTCGAACTAGAGTAGCTAGACTCTCAATAGTGCCTCAACGATTGCCACTTTAGCCTCTCTAAGCTGTGAGGCCAAGCGACTGCAAGCGTTGCCAAGTCTGCGCAGCATCAAGGCAGGTCAAGTCTGGGACAGGCTTGCTAGGCTCTAGCCAGTTTGGTGATCACATTGATCGCGGGTTTATCGTTCGTAAGGTTTCAAGAGACTGGTCCCAGGCACAGGCAGCACTGTGAAGGTGGTGGCTTTAGAAGCGCTGCCGGACGCTGCCGCTCTTTTCCGGAAGTCGGTGGAGAAGAACGGTCTGGCCGAGGTGATACAGGCCCCCCTGCCATGCGACTGCAAGGCATAGTCGGTTCTTTGCCGAAGTTGTGATGAGATGTGGCCAGGTGCTCAATGTCGCTGCAGGCAGCCCTGGTCACGTGCATCTCACGGCCAAGCCCAGCAGCTCCAACTCCTTCACTCTTGCAGCTCCCGGGGCTGCTGGGGCCCTTGTGCACAAAGCCATGTCGGAATTTCTGTTCGAGAAAACAAAAGGGTTCGCTGCAGGAATCCGATGGTCAGTCGGTGCGCGCACCTCCGGCCATGTTGATGGTGGTGCAGATGTTCGGTTGCTGCTGGTGGTGGTTGTGGTTCGTACTTGTGGCTATGGCGGCCATGCGCATGTTGCTATTGTGCAGAAAGCTATTGTTCCGTTGCGGTTGTTCCGTTGCTTTCGTTCTGTTGCTGTGTTGTTCTGTGGCCGGTTAATCTGTTGCGGCTGTTCTGTGATTATGGTGACTGTTGTACTGTTGTTGCTGTTGTTGCTGCTGTTGCTGCTGCTGCGGCTGTGGCTGCGGCTGCGGCTGTGGCTGGTGTTGTCGTTGTCGTTGTCACCGCTGCCACCATCGTTGCTGATGTATTCAGTATGTTTTTGTTCTAAACTACTTTTGTGTTGTCTTCTTGTTGTTGCTGTTGTTTTGTGCTGGTGGTTGCCCTGTTGGTAGTGGTGGTGCTGTTGTGGTGATGGTGTAGTCACTAGTGTAGTCGTGATTGTTGTGGTTGTTGCTGTTGACGTTGCCTGAAAAAGGCAGATCAGGCGACACTGTCGCCTGATTCTCCCATGGCAATGTGACATGACAGGTCGTGCAAGGGCATGTTTACTTTTCTGTGCCAGGTCAAAACGGAGCGGCTGGATGACATTGTCAGCTTCCGCACAATCGACTTACTCATCAGCCACACAAACGGGCCGCCGCCTGTGTGTGACGCCACTTTTACATACTGTTACATCACGGCATGTCTCAAAAGAAAGCCGTGAACATAGACATGCAGATATCCTCGACAGTGCCAGGGCACGCCGGAAACGGAAGGGCTAGAACCCAGTGACACTCGCAGGAAATTTGAACCTTGAAACATCCGGAATTAAACGGAGGATGGCCTGAACCGGTGTTATCTGTGATTTCCAGTGTATTTCAAGGCAGCAAAGTCCCAGACCTCACCTGTGTGCACTCAGGCACTTTTCACAGGTGTGGCCATCTGGGTAGGATGTCCTGCTAAATCCTGGACTGGTGTGCAGGATCCGGTTGTCCCTTTGACAGGCACCCCGAGTCCAGGGATTTGGGAGCATCATTGCGAAAATGAGTTGCAGAAAGTACGGTTTGAACCTTGAGGCTTGAGGACTCAAGCTTAGTTTCCGGTAGGGCAAGCACTGCAGGGAGCACTTCCGGGAAGCCGACCGAGACTGTGTTTCCGTGGGGCGGAAACAGTTTCGGCTTCTGGCAGGAAACAATGACAAATGTTCCAGCATGTGGTGGCCAGGCCCTTGCAAAATTTTGTACAGTTGCTATCCAAGTAAATTCATCATTCTATTTCAGGATCGGACGAGGAAGCCTGGTGCACTGAACAAAAAACAACGGCGAGCGGCGTTGTCCCTTCAGCCAAAACACTGTGAGGGCATGCAATTTTTCTGCTATTTGTATGAGTTTCAGGGCACTGCATCTCTTGTTGATCGTAGTTGTAGATGATTGACGTAGCAGTTTTCGGAACCTCGGTGGTCTCTCCTCCAGACTAGCCATTTTTGCTTTGGATGTCTTGGCTGCAGTGGACTGGAACGCACTCACATCTGCTCGGTATCCCAGGCAGGAGCTCGACATACTCCGTGGCGCACGGCGCTTGGTGCAAAAGTCACGAGACCTGGTTGTGATCCTGCAGCTGTATGGTGGGAAGCCCAGCATTGGCTTTTTGGCCCATCCCTACATCCTGTGAGTACATATGCAACACTCCGCTACACAGTGGCCCGAGGTGCAAACGGAGGTGTCATTCGCGATCTGAGCTACGAGCCCTATCGTCCCATAAGGTGGTTGATGGATCATGGCAGGGGTCTCTAATCGGGAGAAGATGTAGCTCAGCACGGTTCGCAGAATCATTTGTTTCCGAGGCTTCCATGTGGCATTGGCCCGCAAACCGGGGCTACGACTGCGGACGCCTGGAATATTGCGACATCACATGGCCATCACACCAATTGTGAATGCCGGATACTTGGTGGGCTCTTGAGCTGCAAGCAACTCGATGTTTAAGAATCTAAGAAGGACTGATAACCGCGATCTCACAGCCGGCAGGCTGTTGGGATTCCAAAACGCCGCCGACACCTGCGCCTGTCTCAGCAGACGTTTCATGCAGGCAGTGTGCCACCACATTAGGACTACATTCCACCAGCCCCGCGCCTGAACGCAGAAGCAGTTGATGTGCCAAATGCTTTGAGGTGGCCCGGGAAATCTCCTCCAGCTCCTCGTTCCCGTGTGTGTCTAAATTTGACGGCTGGCGAAAGGCCGAACAGTTGGGCAGAGGCCGATGGCTTGCAAGAACTGATGATTGGGATTCGTCTCTAAATACCTGAGCGGCGGATGAACAGCAGAAGGTGGATGGACGAGTCTTGCGAGAGAACCTGCACTTGGCCGGCCTCTTATGGCTATTCCCGCACAGACACATGATGTCTATAGTGAGCCCTTATGCCGAGGTCCGAATCTACTTGGGTCGAAGCCTTGGTGGCTCGGGATCTGCAGAGGCCCCACCCATTGGTGCAGTTCTCAAAGCCAACGCCTATGGACACGGCGCTGTTTTGGCAGGCCGGTTCCTTCCCGTCACCTGTACCCAGAACATTCTATAGGTTCGGCAAGAATTCAGTGAGCAGGTCGCGTTCTGGCTTCGGCAAAGATCGATGCCTTGTTCGTATCCGAGGTGGAGACTGGGCCGTGAACTTGGCAACTTCGTGCTTCGTGCAAAATGCCAAGGGCAGACAACGCATGTAGCAGCCAGATGTAACAGTGTTCCGGAAAATCTTCTTTGCACAATCCTCCGAAGGTCACGTAGTGTTCCTCCCGCTGCAAATTGTTGGAGGTCCCGTATGGCAACTCTGCAACCGCCAGAAAGTGATGTTGCATCGATGGGCAGAACCTAAATCCCGTTTGGAAAGGGAGTGCCCACAGTGATCTATCCGAATGCCGAAAACAAACTTGTAAACGCTGAGAATGTGCAAGATGTCTTCACTTCTCCGATCTTGTCCGTTCACCCACTTCTACGCTATGAAATCCCAGAGGATTTGGGTTTGTAGACATTGTCTCTACTGAAAAGTGATGCTGCGGTGCCAAAGGCTTAGATGTTGCTGTTCGGTTCGTTTCGGTTTGGCTTTACCTCGGTGAGATACCCTTCGGCGCGGTTCGGTTCGGGAACCCCCCCCCCCCCCCCAATAACGACCGTCCACAGGGGCAAGCTGCAGGAACCTGGGCCTCCAGCCACCACAAGGGCCTGGGCCTCCTGCCACAAGGAGCCTGGGCCTCCAAGGACCCTCCACCACGAGCCGCTCCAGAAGGGTCCTCCAGCCACACCGAACCAGAGAATCTCCATCCACAGGGGGGCCTCCAGCCACATGGCCCTGACAAACCCGGAGCCCAACAAAACACAACAACAAGCAAAGTGGTGCTGGGCGTGCAAGGGGTCTGTGCGACCTCTCAGAGCACGGCTGGCGGGGTGGCTGGACCTCTTCTAGTTTCTTCGAGGACTTTCAGGGTGCAGAGGGCCCTTGTAAGGAACCTTCCAAGCGACACACATCACCCTGACACACTGTAACCTTGCGCACAAAAGCCCCTTATCTCTCGACTTCAAGTCCAAACTCCTCGTGCTGGTGGATATCCTCTGCAACATCTACACAGACATCAGCAGCGTGAATCCAACACCTGCACCTGTACAGATGCCAACAATGTCGCCATGGTTCGTTGTGCTGGGAGTGTACCTGCAAACCCTGTAGTGTACAAATCTGTCTATGGCTCTTCACTCCATGTGCTCCCGTGCCCAACTGCAAATCTGGCAGCGCACATCGCACCTGGAATGCTTCAGGTTGACTTTGCGTACCTCTCCGGAGGCTGGAGTCTGAGTCATGTGTCAAAAATGCAAATGAGTGCAAGACTGCGTGGGATGTTTGCTGCTGCAGCTGCAGTGCTGCTTTGAGACCCTGCGGGTCCCGAAGCGAACGTGTATTCGCCATTGTGGCATTGTCATTGTCACTGCAATTGTTACTTGGTTGGGTGCTGTTGGAACAAGAACTGGTTTAGTTCTTGTAAGATTAAATACGCAAAATGTCAATCCCGATGATCCAGTACTAAAAATTGACCACCTTGTCCCGATTCCTACTCCGTCACTGGTCAAATTATCTGCATATTGCTGCATTCCGCTGCAAGGTTCCAAAGTCATTGGCGATTGTACTGTTGTACCGAGCACCCCTGGACGGAGTGATCTGCCAACTTGCGGAGGTTCATCGGAAGGGGTAAGCATTGAATGGCAGCGCATAGAGAGGTGCCTGGATCTTCAGACATCAGCAGTGTGTGCAGGCGAACATCACCGTGTCCGTGCTGTCCAACGCCTGGCTCAGGGAGGAGCGACCGGCCCATCCTGGTCTCCTTTATTCTCATGGGTTTTCCTGACCTCTGAGACACATCACCATGCACACTTGGCAGACACCATGCAGCCTGGAAGCAGGCGATCGGGTGGGCTCCGTGCGCATCCAAGCTGAGGCCAAGTCAACAGCCTTTTTTTCTGTGAGTGCTCTTTGTTTTTGTGTGAGAGAAGAGAGAGTGAGTGTGTGTGCGTGTGTGTGTCTCTCCCCCTCTCTCTCTCTCTCTCTCTCTCTCTCTCTCTCTCTCTCTCTCTTTGTGTATCGGAGATCTCTTTGTGCTCTCTGTCTCTCTCGCGTTATGTTGTTTTTGCGTTTCACTTGTTCCGTTTTCTTCGGGAGAGGCTGCACCTCATGGTCGACACGGGCCTGGCACGAGAAGGTCTGAGCGGGTTGAGACTCGAGGACCTTGGCGAGGCAACGGCTTCCATTTTGGCGAAGCCTCACTGGTCCTTGGAGGGTCTCTACACTCACTGGTGCTGCCCGCCCACATCTCAGTGTCTCAAGCCTGTCCTCGAAAGATATTTCGAACTTTGACACAGCTTCGATCTGCATCTGCTTGTCCGAATATGCTCCGTGCGCTGTCCTGCACTTCGCCTCTTACGCTCAGGTATGACCCCCTTGAGATGCACCGCTCACACGCTCTCTTTGAGGGAGCGCTTGCTCTGGTTCGTGCTGCGGGCCCAGTCTGATCAAACGGTGCCAGTGCGGTGCACTTGTTTCCGCACTGGCTGACAAGGAGCTTCGGCGCACAGCAGGGTCGGCTGGCAACCAGCCATTCACAGCTGGTCGCTAAGATTCAGAGGGTATCTGCAGCATTCCGTAGCATGCTTCACAGTCGCTCAAGACAGTCGATGCGCTGCGCAGTGCTTGACACGCGATTGGGCAGTCCCCTGCTAGCTGATTGTAATTGCAGTTCTTTGGCTCCGCTCAAGTGATGTGAATCGAGATGGGCGTGGCGTCCCGAGGACGCATGTCCGGATGAATGGGCACTGGATGAACACTACTGTACCCCATCAAGCGAAACTGTAATCAGGTTGGGCATGCAAATCGCAATGACCCCCGGCCTGAGAAAGAAGGACATGGACTGGAGTGGGCCTCTGCAATTACTGTCTGAGAATCACACGCACAGTTGAACATGGGGGGGTGAAACTGTTCCCAGTAGTATGCACCCGAGAATTTCAAATGCTTTGCTTGACACAATGTCATTGCCGACGTCCTTGAATCAAAGGCTGGTTTTGTGTTCTAAGGTGCACACCTCCAGCAGTTCCGCTGTATTGCTCGGGGTTCACTATGCAGCAACCTCAGCAGACTGTGCGTTCTTAAGATTCTTGCTTCGCGTAGCGACGAAGACTCGGTGCTGTCTTGTTCGTGTCTTGAGCGGACGTTCTTGGATACAAGCTTGGAGGTATTTTGAGAACTGAGGCGTATCACTATGTATCGCTCGAAACACTCTGCTTGCCTCGAACACAACATAACCGTGAAGCCAGCACATGCCTATGTTTGAGTCGAGCTTGCACCCCAGCCAGATCTCAATGCACCAGGATTTGCTGCGCGTCGGGGGCCTCCTTTTCGGCGATCCGGTCGCGATCGCAGATGGCGCTGGAGGAGCTCTACACTTACCCGGGTCCGATGCTTGAAAGGGTGGGCTGGGCCCGTTGCTGGAGTGTCACTGAGTAGTAGTCACTAGAGTCACTAGAGATCAAGCGTATCAAGGCGATTCAAGGCGTTGGCAACAAGCTTCGACATATCCAGCTGCTAGAGTCAACAGGACCACATCGGATCTGTTCTGTTTCTTATCATCTGTCATCATCGAAGGTACAAGTTTGAGCTTTGTTGAGTGTTTCCAGCCATGGGGCCACCCCGGCACCCGTTTCCTTGTCAAAGGGGCCCCCAAGGCATCCAACAGCTGACCTGCACATTGCTACAACCGGCACCCAGACATCTCGCATTTGTTTGTATGGTGCCGGGATCGGCGTAGATTGAGTTCTCGCACATGGCCAATCAATTGCGGCCTCTGTTCAGAGGGATGCCGAAACAGGAATCATGGCAACTGCCAAACTTGCAGCCTCTTGCACCCTCCGCCATGATGAGAGATGTCTTGCAAAAAGTGCTTCATACTAGTTGGTGTGTTTATCCGTCATGCGTCACGCGTCTTGTAAGTTACAATTGCTCTGCTGTAGCTGCTTTGTTTTCCTCAGGCCGCAACGGTTCAGACTTCTTGTCAATACGCATAAGATCGTGACAAGGCCCCATCGAACCCTTTTGTGGAAGAGTCGCGTCACTTCACTTCGCTTGAAGCTCAGATTCACCGTCTTTCACATGCCAGACAGATGTTGCAAATAATTTTACCGAGCACCCGCGCAGCATGATCGGGTTCCGCACGAGGTTGGTCGGTTCCTGGGGAGCGCTTCTCCAGATGTTCCGCTGAAGTTGGATGCGAAAAACATCCGACGTTTCAGAAGAGAATCTTATTGGGCGTCATTCCTGTGCGGACCTTACTGTCACACTTAGAAGACGCTTGATAGGTGGCATGCCCCGAAGCGTGCCTTTGGCAGCTGCTGTGCACCTTGAACGCCAGGTTGGAGGCAACGAGTTTAGCGATTCGAACGTTGTGAGCAGTGCCCATCCTAGGGTCAAGTGAGTCAAGCCTGTGTTTTTGTGAGCATTTGCTTGTCATTGTCGAGCCAACTCCTCCCCCCCTCGGCGAGCTGCATGAGGTTCCTTTCGCGAGAAGTTGCCGCTCCTTGAGAAGTCGCTGGAGCAAGCCCTGCTTCTTGAACCCTAAACCCTAAACCCTAGACCCTAGACCCTGAACCCTAAACCCTAACCCTAAACCCTGAACCACTCTGTGCACGCCACTCGTTGTGTGCATGAGCAGGACGGGTTGCTGGTGGAGATCCCATCGACATCTCGCACTTTCCAGCAAGCCTCTGAAGGGATGGAGGCAGGATGAGCCCTGTCTGAGGCAGACGTTGCGGGGCCAAGTTTTGACGAACTGATGCTTGTGGCTTCTTAGATTCTCAGACTCGGAGCATGTGCAGGTTCTGCTTTGCGCGGAGAACTGCATTCAGGGACTGTTCAACGTTCCTTCGTGTTGGACTCAGACACGCTTGACGCCTGCTTCAAACTGTCATACGGCTTCTGTTTTGGGTAGGACATGTAGAACCGCTCCACCACGAGGTTTCGAGTTGGGGAGTTGTCCCTTACCCCATTGCCAATTTTGGTTCTGGGGAAGACCTAGGTATGAATGTAACCATCACAGGCACTTCGTGTGTATCCCACCCAACCAAGAGAAGCCAGGAAGCAAATCACCGCAGGCCAAGGGAAGTCCATACTGTAGATAGCTCACACCTGTTGAATTTTGATCGAGCTCTTCTTTCCTCACACTCCTCTCTTTTTTACTGCAAGGCTTCTTCTTTTAAATTCAGCTGCTCTTAAGCTTTGCCCCCGCCGTAGAGAGGACAAGACGAAGATACAAAACATGGAATGAGGAGTTCCTCGCTGTTCCTTTCCCACCTTCTGCCTGTTCATAATCTCGCTCGATTCTTCTCTTCTCGCTTTCTTCTCTTGAGATGCTGTGGGAAGGCAAGGAAGGGAAGGCCGGGGAGGAAGGCAAGAGGAGGCAGAGGAGAGGAGAGAGATGTGGTGGAAGGTTGCACGCCGATCTTAGACAATTTACGCCCCGGCATAGTGAGCGGCGGGAAGTTTCAGATCAAGGCGAAGTGCTCTGCTTTTGTATTTGATTGTGGGATCTGGATACCCGTTGAGTCTGGTGTCATCCTACTTCGATCGCGGGTCAGGCTTTTTGTGAACTCTCAGACTGTCTTGGTCATGCAGCCAGTCCTGCAGTGAAGGAATCTTTGCGACGTAGCGATGCATCGGCCGAGCGGCGGAGAGCGTGCCCCCTCCCCCCATCCCCGGCTCGCAGATTTGTTATAACCACGTTTTCACATATTATGTGGGGGTTTCCGCAAAGAGGTGTACCCTTTTTGGCGGGTTCCTTTGAAGGTTTTTTGGGGTATATATACGAGTACCCCTGTTTTCGGAAATCCGTATGCCCACGACATGAGGGAGGGGCCCGAGCTGGACCTGTGTGCTGGGATGTTTTCACATCGGCTTCCAAAGAGGTATCCAGGTTGTGAAGATACCTGGGCTCGGTTTTCATCCCCCCCCCTCTGCATCAGAGGAGAAGGGTATCCCACGTCCTGGTTTCCAAGCTTTTTCTCGGTGTGTCCGACTAGAGAATGTATGATGCAGGTGAGTATCGATGTGAAGCTAAGGCACGTGCCTCGATTGCTGGCGCAAGATCCGACCCAACCTCAGCAAAGTCAGGTTTGGTGTCCAGCATTGGTTGCAAAAAGCGGAGCTTTCCTGTCAAGGTCGATTGACATGCGGTTGTATTGCCCGCCCGAAATGGTCTTGCAAGCGCCGTGACGCGAAAAGATCTGCCTCGCGCCATGCATCTCAGGATCCAAGACTCTTCAAGCATTCAGAGACCGGGGGGGATGGTAAACAAGTCAAATGCCAAGAGCCGTACAAACCTTGACTCTGACCAGGTACGCGCCTTCGGGAGACGGCTTTTATCCAGTCGAGCTGAATGGGGCAGTCACCCGGTTCTACCACAAGTGTGTTTTGCTAGGGTTTGTTTTTGGCGAACTCGCAAGGTTTTGTGTTTTTTCAAATGTAACTAGGCCAGGCAACATTCGTCGGGCGGTCGGTTAGCAAGGCGCACGAGCGAACGTTGTGGAGACTTCTTAGCTGGAATACCCACCGTATCTTACGGAAGACAAGTCATATCAAGCCACAGCGTCCAGCGGAGATGGCACGAGCAATGAAGTGACGAAGCGCAAGCTGCAGGATCAAGTGGGAAATGTCAGCACAATGAAATAGGGCTGACACATACAAGAATTGTGAGTAACATTCTACAAATGTCTATATGTTTCACATACCTCACAGGCAAAGGCAAGTCAGGTTTTGCTTGCCCCTGAGCGATTGCCCAGGTATATGACTCCTTCAATTTACGAGTGGTTTTCGAGAGGGACAAGACGGGCTTCGAAGAGAGTAAGGACACGTGGTGCTGCGCAAACAGGTTGCACCATCACATTGCAGACTTCCATGGAGCACAGGCAGAAGGTATATAGGGTCTCAATGACAGGAGTTCCCAATCCGGACCAACATGGTGGTGGCAGCGAGGCTGGGATGACTTTGTTTCGGCACCTAGGCATCTTCTTCACGTGCAATGCAAGCACCCAGGTATCAGATCATTGAGTACTTGGGATCTGCTGCTTTTTCACGGGCGGCGCGCCCCGGCAGTTGTGCTCGCACAAGGGGGTGGGCACTTGTGAGGTTTCCACTGCGGGCGCGTCAATCTGCCATTCCTGCCAGGTTCAGTGTTTAGATCTGGACACGAACAAGATGGTATGCATGAAGATTATCAAGAATGACAAGGCCTTATTGGTGCATGTGGTGGAAGTGAGCTGCTTTCCAAGGCAGAGCCAATTGTGACATGAGAGGACTTCTTCGATCAGTCGTTGGACGAGATCAAGCTGCTCAAGTACATCAACGTAAATGGCGATGTCGACTACTACAATGTTTTGCGCCAGGCGGCCCAGTTCCAGCTACCCCCCCGCATTGTCTTCCGCTGCTTGGTCAGGAAGGGGAAGGTTGTGAGAGGTTGTTGGAAGCTGTGTCCCTGCCAAGGTCTTTACGACCACTTTTACCACAAGGAGCACCAGCTAGAGCTTCGCCCGAACGGCCGCAACCATGGTTGAGTACTTGGTGAAGTCTATTGGCAAGCCGCGCAGGAGCACCTGATCATCGTAACCGAGCTCCTCCGTGACAACTTGTACGAGTTTAGCAAGTTCAACCGGGAGTGCGGCCGCGGCCTTTGGAGCATTCCTGGCGGCATGTGGACGGTTGAAAGAAAGCTGCTCAAAGCCTCAGCTTCCAAGGTGACGAGCCTTACTTCACCATCGGCCGACTCCAGAAGATTTCCAGACAGGAGACATGCTTGCCTTAAGTGTTTTTTTGCCATCTATTCAGAACAGCTTTCGCAGCTTTTTTGCTGCAAGCGTCGGCCCCTTGCAGATCCTTACTGCCTTGGACTATGTCCATTCATTGCGGCTTATACACTGCGACCTGAAGCCGGCAGAGGCCTCAAAGGTGTCAAGCGATCGGCATGTAAAGCTTGTGTTTGTCTCCAGCTGTCGCGTCTTCCGCCCGGTCAAGCTGCGTGCCCAGGAGAACATCCTTATCAAGTCCTACAGCCGATGTGAAGTCAAGGCGCCAACCAGCACAGCTCTGCAGCAGCTCCAGGTTGTTTATGTTTTCCATCGTTTCCGTGATGTTTTTCGATGGTTCGGCCTCACGGCCTCTTGCCTCACGCATGCCGTGTCAACTTGTGTAAACTGTGTCGACGCCCTGAACCCAATCCAGTACCCGAACTCTGCCCATGTTTTGGACGTTGCTCTGCAGAACTGCAATTTTTTGGTCAGGTGATCGACTTTGGCTCCTCGTGCTTCATCGACGATCACCTGTCTTCCTATGTGCAGTCTCGGTCATACCGAGCACCAGAGGCCGATGCCATTGACAGATGCTGGCAAGACAGTGAGAGTCAGCGGGAGAGTGGTCGGTCACACGACCCCCTTCGGGTGACCCCTTCGGGGGTCAAGCGTGCTGGAAGGAAGAAAGAAGGAAGGGAAGGAAGTGGGAGGGATCCCAGCAAGGTCATGCTTGGGCTGCCTTATGACCAGAAGATTGACCTGTGGTCACTGGGTTGCATCCTCGCAGAGCTCTGGACAGGCCAGGCGCGAACAGGCACAGCGAGTTCAGATGAGCTGCATGTTGTGTTGAATCTCTTTGGGAGGCTATGTCCTGTTCCAAAACGATTCTGCGCGGTGCCCGTAGGTTTGGTTTTGCTGTTTGTGCTCCTGTGTGTCTCCCGTTGCACCGAGGTTCAGAGCTTGCTGGCTCGAATACTGGGCATAGTCGGAGATTTCCCGCTTGGTGCTTGATGTCTTGTTCATGTTCAGCAACAGCACAGAGCTTGATCGTTGACCCAAGTCCTGATGCCGAGATATCACATGATGACCAGTGGAAAGTACGTCCCGCAGTATTTCACGCAGGACTCACTCATTTCCATCGGGACAACCCTGTCAGTCATTTACTTCGATGTCGAACGGCGAGGACGGACAGCTCTATCAAGAAATCGAGGGAGCACCGTGCCCTGAACGAGGGCGTCGCCTGCATCTCCTGGTCTCCCAGCGTTTGACAAGTTCGGGCTTGTTTTCTTTTTTTGTTGTTTGTGTAGCCTGGAGGGCCTAGAGCCCTAGACGTGCTCAGAGGTTTTGCAGTTTAGGTGCCAAAGAAGACGTCGCTTCGACAGAGGATGCGCGCAAGCCTTATCCCAGTCCGAAACTCCGACCTTCGCATGTTCAGAAACAAGTAGGCACACACAGGCACACCCTACCCTGGACATGCTGAGTGGCGGTGTGTGGAGGACGTGCTGCGAGTAGATGTAAGAGCCGACACTCAGGGACCAACGACGAGCTGCTGCTTGACTTCTTGGAGAAGCTCTTGCAGCATCTTGCCTGAAGCGAAAGACACCGCACTCCGTTAACTGCAGCTGTCCGTGATCCAGCACTTTTTGAGCACCCTAGTTTGACGAAGGCATACTAAGGCTACATGTCGTCGCAAATTCGTGCGATTCGGCTTGCAGCCCCTCCTGCCAAGTGGAGCTTTTGTCTGACCAGACTCTCCAGGCTTGATCCTGCTCAGCGACCGACAGCCGCTGAGGCCTCTGTCAATGCCAATGTATTGAGGGGGTGGGGTGGCCTGAACTGCCTTGACATCGGCATACCACATATTATATATATATATATATATATATATGCTCATATATGTATATATATATATATATACGTGCATATATAGATAGACAGCCATTGCCAGAAGGCAAACACCTTGCCGAGGCATGCTGTGCCGAGATCGGCTGTACCTCTCGGGTCGGGTCAGTCATTATGCTGTAGAGGTAGGCACGTGTACCCCCTGTCCATCTCCCACCCAAACAGCCATACTCGTAGCCTACAAGCCCTACAGATTCCAAAGCTCTATCAGCTCTACCGTGGTTTCGTGTCGGCTCGTGCTGCTAATGTCAAGGATGTCCATACACATATGTAGGCCATGGAACATCCCTTCCTGGCACCAGGGCGGTGCGTGCCTCACTGTTGCCAGCTTTTCACTTGCGCTTTTTCGCTTTATGCTTGCATCCCATGAGATGCCTGCGCGTGCCTGCGCCGAGATACTCAGATGGCTTGTGAGACGCGGGGAGGGTGTGCTGGAGTGCCGCTTTGAGCGGCGCTTTGAAGCCCGGCCGTCCTGTCCTGGACACTGCTCTGACAGGCAGATGTCTTCCCGAAGTCAGGCGCGCAGCTCCGACAGCGGGCAAAGTCCTGCGAGACTGCGAGACCCTATATATGGCCCATGTTGTGACATTGTGAGATATTGTGAACGGCCCCATGCACAAGAGTCGCAAACACAGCTTGTCAATCCTCGAGTTCCTGCGCCTGATGCACACTAGCTTGACAATGCCTACGGCCTACGGTCCGAAAACAGCCCGACGATGCTCGACAGACAGCTGCCCGTTGCTTGTGATTTGCAATCTTGTCTCATGGTCACCTCTCAAACCCGACGCCCGCAGAATCCCGGACTTCACAGAGGATGCTGAGATGCTCTCATGGGTCTACTCCCTAATGTTGAAGACAGACACGGAATGAGACTATAACGTGGCTCCGCTGCTGCTCTTTTCTCTTCATTTTGTTGCAATTCTCAATTTCTCTTTCGACTTTCCTAGCTTTTTCCAGGCCGGAGTTGGCCTTGGCGAGGCAGAGTCCTACAAGGCCCGAAACGTCTCCCTGTGCGTAGTTCACTTTGGACTGGTTCCACCTTTTACCGACCTCATTAGGTCATGTGTTCCATGCGGAACTTGGCAGCGAATCAAAAAGATGGTCTCAACAAGCTCAGATTCTGGGGCAAGGCTCGCGTAGCATCGCGTGACGGTGGGCTTGCTGGCCTTTGCTGGCCTTTCCTGTCCTGGGGCTGCACCCTGTCCAGCATGTTTCTCTCAGATCCTTGGCACGGAAGCTGACTACTATGTTGCAGAGGCCGGCTAAGTCAAGCAGATTCTCCGCATGCTCGCACACTGGCGTCATGATGGGATCTCAGGCCCAACGAGATGGCGGAGAGCCTGATGAGAACGATCCCGATGCAGAACCTCCAGGCTATGTGAGGGTTGCAAGGCGTTGTAACGCGGCTTTGACGAGGCTTGACGAGGCTTCGCTCACCCTCGTGCTTAGCAGGACAGGGCGCCAACCAATTCACCTACTACGTGACGAATGACCTGGCCGGCGACTGGCGACGATTGCCGGACATCAAGCCTAAGGAGGCACAATAGGACTCGCTATAGGACTTGATGCTTCAGCGGCGACTTGTGAAAGTCTTGCGAATGTTGCTCGCACATGAAAGAGCCCACTTCTCACGAGCATTTTCAGCCTGGACAGATCATCGCAGCGCGTGCCATCAAGAGGCTAGTGACGGGAAACGCTGGCTCGAAGGACCAACACATTGATGTATAGGGTGCATGCGGTGACATTCTGTTCTCCCGAGCCATTATCAGCCGCAGGTTATCACACATCCTGCCTTTGAAGGGGCAGAGGAGGCCGGCTCAAGGTAACGCATGTCATTGCCAAACTTGCATGCGCTGTATTTGACAAAGTCTACTTATCTAGTCTTTGTTGCCCAATCCGACGCCGGCAGACCAATGCTGCAAATGCTTTCGTCTTTGAGAGCATAGGTTGCAAGATGCTACACGATTCCATGTTGCACCTCTTTAGAATACCTTCCCGGCTGTGGATACTTGTCTTGAAATGGGGTTCCACAGCACGTCGCAAGTTCGCCGGGCAGCTTGGCTTGGAAGATGGAACTGCTGCTTACTTTCACGACTTATGCAAGTGACAATTGCGGACGTGCTTTGGCCATTTGACTGGCAGGTGTACCTCCGCGCGCAAATTGCGAGAATCACTGCAGACACCGTCATCTGCATGAAGGGCTACCTGAAGAAGGACTGCCGCAAAGCAAAGCAAGTGGATGTCAACTTTGGGACATGCAGAACATGCTGTCGTGAAGGAGGAAGAAGAAGGATCCCCCATAGAGCAGAACGAGGAATTTGTCTGCCCACCTCCGGCTGAGCTGCTCAGGAAGGAGGCAAGGGCACCTGTGGATGGCTGGCAGTTCCTGCAGACTTCGTCTGTTTTGCGGCCGCAGCGCTACAAGTAAGCAGCGTCGTTTTGCTATAGATTGTTTTGCTATAGATACGATCATCGGAATCAGTTGCGAAGCCGAAAACATTGCAGGGACTACATAGCTGCGCATAGGCAAGTGCGTCATAACCGCGTACTTCGCAGAGGTGGACAAACTTCGTAACATTGAAGCCTTTGGCAGACAGACCTCAAATGCACTAGGCTCCATGGGATAAGGCTCGTCTGCCTCTGTGGGAGCAATGGCTGGACACTTGGGGGCCTGAGGTGGGTACGATTTTTTCGGGCGCCTCTGATCAAGCTGGAGTGGATTGAAAACCAAGGTTATGGTTATGTTCATACTCTTGATTGTTGGATCAAAGATCGAGTGTTTGCTGCTTCGAATGTTTCGAGGTCGGTGCGAAGGCCCGTACAGTAGGCCTTCCTTAGTCACATACTGCCGGATACTGCACAGGATGCATTCCCGTGCAGCCGGCGTAAGCGCTCAAGAAAATGAGATGTCCTAACAACGACAAAAATCACTGCTCGCCAAGTCGTTTTCTGGGGATTCATTCTCCTGTTAAGCATGACATGTATACCGTCGGCACGTGACCTCATGCTTTTCGAACTGCCTCTTGCTCATTGTGTCTGCGACCCTCAACCCTGAACCCGAAACTTGGACAAAAGCAACATGTGGACAGGCTTGGACCCACATGCTGTCTGCCCGGCCTGTCGTAGCAGCATGTTGTGGTGCCCTTCCTTTGACGCTGAGGCCTCCTCAAGTCCTGTGCGCATGGCAGGCCTCACGTCCTCCTCAACGGGCGCACCACTCACAAGGAGATTCCGGAGGGCGACACGCCGGAGGAACTTGACCTGGCTGCCAAGATGAAGGAGGCGCGCGGCCGTGTTCGGAGGGTCAGACACAGCATATCACTGCTCCAGTATGCTCCAGTATGGTGCAGGAGCAAGAAGCAGACCCCGAGCAGGAGGCCAAACTTGTGTGGTTTTTCCATGTTCTTACTAGTATCCTGTGCTTTAGCAAGATAAGTCCCTCGCATGTTCTTGGAGATCTGCTCTCACGTTTTCTCAGTACAGGTGCTGCGAGGCTTGCATGCAGACGGACTGCAGTGGACAATCAAGCAGGCTATGCTCAGAGAGGGGCCTCTGATGTAACATTTCTGGCTCTGCGGATTTTCCAGGCTGGTGACACTACCCTTTATCGTGCTTCAGCTGATCCAGCTGCTCCCTTGAGGCGGGCACCAGGTTCCATAAGCTCTGCATGTTGAAACAAGCAGTAACACGTGTAAACGGCTCTGTTTGGCTTTGGGACTCTGTGCTAGTCATGTGGCTCCCGGCGCATCGTCCTGTTTTCAGGATCAGCCCCTTATGCGGAAGATAAGCGAGTGCTTTTGGCTCTAGCGGGCACCTCTGGCATCCCCCAGTTGCAAGAACAAAACATGTTGCCAAAAAAAAAAGGCTAATCTTAGCAAGGGCCTACATCCTACAAAGACAGGAGGGCAGATTTGCAGGAAGAAAGATCTTGATTGCCACCTGAGCTTGCCCAACACGTCGGACGCATGAGCCATGCTTTGAATGTTCTGCAATTGTTTGTCCTCACTGCGCAGTCGTCATTTGATCGTGATCCGAGATTCGTCTTTTCGCCACCGAAAAACTTATCCCACCCGGGCTGCAATACATCAAGCTGGTTGTCTGCAGGGCCTCCTTTTGTCCCCGCCCGAACGACGTTGAGTGAGACTGCGACCGGTGGGGAGGGCGATGTACCAGCTGCTAGACACGGAACAAAACGATTGCGGCCGGCCCAGAAGATGGACAGTATGTTTTCACAAAGCGTTGGATGCGAACCCACTTCACCCGGAGTTGGTGTTTGCAAGTTCCATGCTGTTGAGCTGGGGGATGCTGGTGGTCCATCAACGTGTTGAGGCATGGCCTTGAGGCTTTCAAGCTTCGCCGACACGAGAAGCAACACTTTGTTGGCCAAGGGTTGTGCCAAGGGTTGTGCCCAATGCCTGGATGTGGTGGGTTGTGCCGTCGGTCCGGAGCCGGTTAGTAGTATGCAATGCCAAAGGAGTGGAAACGCATCGAGGGGAATGTATGATGCTTGCAACACGAACTGCGACATCGCAGGCATGATTTCCCAAAGTGGGGCGGGTTTGCTAGGATGTCCTCGTGCCGGGAACCGACAGCGTACTTGGAACCGCGTGTGCAGCGATGCTTCACGTGCACACGCACCCACCCACCCACCCACCCACCCACCCACCCACCCACGCACCCACGCACCCACGCACCCACGCGCACGCGACCGCGCAAGCACACACGTTACACCAGATTTGCCGAGGCATATGGGCACTCACCCAGGCACGTAGTCGGCAAAATTGAGCGATTGTAAGCCCGGCTGGGACTTGAACGTTGCCATCAGTTGCCGCCCTCCAATCTCCAGTTCCTCGGACTTTTGAGTTAGAGGTTTGTGTTTCGTTGCGTGCAGTGGTTTTGCACAGGAGCACTTGTGCGACAAATCATGGAAGCCACGTCTTCCAGGTCAAACGCAGTGACGTACGTACGCTCGCTCGCCTGGCCGGGTGCAGTGCGCCACTTACGGGCATTTTTTGTCCCCAGCATTTGGAGAGAGAGAGAGAGCGGATGCAATGGTCATGTGACTTGTGGCTTGCAGGTGACTGCAGTACGCAACGGGCAGTTCGTGAACCTGTATGCCAGCGTCTCATAATGTCTCATACTTTCTATGCCCTGGGACTCCTGCGCAGAGAAGCTCGCAGGTTGGTTATGGCCTGGCGGCGGGCAGCCCCAACTTCTTCCCCTTGGCACCTCCCGATGTGCAGGAAGAGCCCGAGGACCGAACCAGACCAAAGCTTTTCGCAAGTGAGCCAAGAAACCAAGAGAAGCTTTTCAGGCCATAGAATAGCAAAGAATATTGACAATAATTATTCATTCAATTAGATTATAATGATTATTAGCAAAAGGACACGGTGCGGTTAGCGGCCGTGGGCCGTAAGCACACCAAAATGTGGTTTTAACCCACGCATGACAGTGTTTCGCTGTTGAAACGTGCTTTGCGGAGGTTTTCTTGGTTAACGTGCAGTGAATCCTAGGCATTGTTGTAGTCAAAGGTACCACGCCTGCCAGTGTTTTGAGTGTTGCGACACCCTTATATTATGAGTAGGTTTTTTCGCGTTTCTTTTGTGTTTTTTGCGGTTCCATGTTTTGTGGTTGTGTAGGGCCTTGGGTCCTCGCTCTCGCTCTCCCAACCGCTTCCCCAGGCTTAGGGTGTAAGGCTTTGGGTTGTCAGGGTCTGGGGTTTAGGGTTTATGGTGTAGCCCAGGGTACTGTCAGGGTTTAGGGATTAGTGTTTGGGTTTAAGGTTTCAGGGCTTATAGGTTTTAGGCAGTTTACGGCTCAGGGTCCAGGTTTACCGGTCGTTCCTTCTTTTTTTCCTAGGCGTTTTACGGCTCAAGGTCGAGGGCAAAGGCACGGCGCACCGTTGCCCCGCAGCGAACGCCCTTTGCGCTCACGGTCTGACGCCTTCAACTTCAAGAAAGCTTTCGCTCCGGGCAGCGAACACGAGCGGACATTGCCCGCACAACCCACATCGTTTGGCGAGATTAGGGGGCATTGCGGACAGTGCTTAAAATCTGAGCTCTTGTAGCTGGAGGATGACTTGGGTGTACTCCTATTTCAATGCTGGAAGTGTTGACTAGAAGAGTGCATGTAAAAGGCTGGAACTGTAGACTAGAAGAGTGTATATAAAACACGGCAAGGAAACAGAAGCTATCTGAACCAGAAACAAGGAAGAAGAAGCGTGAAGACATGCCCGCAACCACCCCCCCCCCCCCCCCCCCCCCCCCCCCCCCCTTCCCCCGCCTCCCCCCCCCCTCAGAAGCACGAAAAAGTTGTAGAATCAGCGTTCCGCCCACGGCCGCTAACCGCACCGTGAGCAAGAACAACAACCCTCGTAATAATAATAATAGTAATAATAATAATAATAATAGGCAGTGTCCTCACCCTACTCCAGGATCTTGGCGAAGTGGAAGAGCCTCAGGGCTCCCTCGAAGAGCCCAAAGAGCCAGAAGAGTAAATGCCGCAAGCTCGGCCACCGGCGAGTTCTTGTACTGTTCTCGGCTCCTAAACCAAACCCTAAACCCCCTAACCCTAAACCCTAAACCCTAAACTACCCTGTTAGTTCGGAGGCCCTGGCCATGAGCCTCTGAAATATTTCGTCGCACTGACGGTGTCCCGGACTTGCATGCTTAACTTGGTTGAGCCAACTAGCTCAGCAAAGGAACGCGAGTTTCACCGAGTTGCCTTGAGAAGCTGTTTCACGTGCCATGGGGCATAAGCATGCCTGAAGGATGGCATGCCCATCGTCCAATGTTGAAAGGCCGTCTTCTGCCCCTTCTTTGCGACAACTAGAGTTACCATGCGGGCATGTGGAATCCCTTGCAAGCTTGTCCTTAGCTCGGTTGACCGCAGCTTCTTGATCATCTGATTTCCCTGCACCCTTTATAAGTCATCCACATCGTCTAGGGTAGAGTCCTTCAAGAGGATTGTGGCAAACATGAATCGGACCGAGCTCGAATCGCTCAGCACAGCTATTTTGCATCCCAGCTTTCTCTCCATGCCTTTGTATTGGTCTTGACTCTGCAATCCATGTCGCCAAAGTGGCGTCAATGGACCATCGATGCCACAGATGTGCTGGGAGCCCGGACGTGTGTGAGATGCAAGCAGCAAGCAGTGCTTGTGATGGCAGATGCTCTCATGCAACGTTGGTGCGTGTGAGCAGGCCAGAGGGAGACATGGAGGGCAACGGAGGGACCGTGGCCAGAAGCCCAAGCTGGCTTCGCAGCGCTCGCCGCAAGCACCGTATATAGTATATATATATATATTGTATATATATATATGTATATCGTGCTGAGTTCTGCTTAGGTGAAAGCCGGCAGTTTGTTCGGCTTCAGTTTGCCTGGCAGTTCTGGCAGCACAGCTGCTGTCTCGACGCCTCTGCTGGTTCGCGCCTAAACTGCTTGCAGAGAGAGCTACCACAATCATCGGTGAGCTTGTGTCGAAGCATGGCTGCCGCAAGCGAGTGCAATTCAACATGTCAGCCATGTGCCAAGTTTTGTCAAATAGATGATAGATGAAGGTACGTTTCGGGAAAAGAAAAAGGCTCATGGTTTTGGATTTTTGGAGACCTCCGAAGGCCCGAGAAAAAACACATTTTGGGGGTTTTCGAGTGCAAACAAACAACCCGCATTTTTGTTGCTTTTGAGGCTCCCGAAATCCCGCAAACATGACATGGAATTGGTATTGACCAGGGCTTGCGATTTGACATCTTGGAGGACAGCTCCCACCGATTTGACATGTTGAAAGACAACTTCACTTGCGATTGTACATCCCAAAAGCCCTCAAAGGGCTTTTGTAGCTAGCTTGCGAGGCCTCCCAGGGCCCTCAAAAGGGGCCTCCCCAATGAATGGCCTTGCCTGAGTCATGTTGCTGGGGTCTCTAAAGCTGCCGCTCATGATGCTAAAGCTGATGCTCATGTTGGCCAAGACTGATGCTCACGATGCCAGACTGATGCTGATGGCCCCTGGCTTGGATCAATGTGCAACGTCCGCGTTGTGTATCAGGGTTGCCAAGCTCAGTACTGAAGTGCACTGTGCACTGGCATCTTGGACTCTTGGACTGTCGCGGCCCACAGTTCCCGAAGTTCCCGGCATGACAACTCCTGCTCAACCCGAGGCTGCAGCCTTTGCGCGCAATCAGGTTGCTGCCCTGCATCCGACGGCTTTCAAGCAGGCCGCGGCAGCCGCGGCAGCTTGCATGAAGCGATCTCTAACTTCTGCAGAGTCATGAGGGCGTGCGTAAGTTCCATGCCTCATGATCCCACCTCTGATGTGCAGCTGAGCTCGGCGGGTTTGGGTTCGCCAGGGCGACGTTGGGATCCATCTCCACGCACATCTCCAAGTTTGCTCTTTCTCTTGCCGGAGTGGACCGCGTGATGAACACATGACAGATCGAGTACGATCCCGAGAAGGAGCAAGTAATCGATGCAAAGACGTCCGCGCCTTTTGTTGGTTTTTGTTTTTCTTAACCGACGTCCTGGACAGCCTTATGAGATGTCACCGGGCTCAGGTACGAGGTGCCCAACGTCGGAGATGACTCTGCGCCCCCGAGCTTACAGGCGCAGAGCAAGCAGGGAGTGGAAGAGAAGGGCTCCGGGAGTGCTCCAGGGGGTCATTCCCAAGGCTTCAGCTTCTTCTTTTGCAGGTCCTGCAAACGATCGAAGACAAGGCAACAGAGGCAGTGCTGCTGCGGCCGGAAGTCTGCAGTAGTGTGTGGCAGGAAAGTCGCAGATCTTCGTGTCAGGTCATGCAGGAGAATTCATTGTGCCGTCAAAAAATTGCCGAGGCAGACTGTGGACTTGAGAGAACCGATGCGAGAGAGCTGCTGTGGCGAAAGCATGGCGACGGCACAGCAGGTCATAAACTCGCTGCGAAACGCCCCGAAGCTACCCCAGGAGACCTGCGGGCATGATCTGGCATGTTGAGCTTGGCGAGAAGCAGTGAAATGAGCCTTCAAATGCCTTCAAGCCGTGCACCCGATGCACTCGATTGCAGGACCTCTTCGGCCCTCGGCAAGCAGGCCTTCGACAAAGTAGTTTTGCAAAGGGCAATAATTATTCTAGTCGATGAGCATGGCAGGCATGGCTTCTGTCATGTGCCTTTCATCCTTACAGTGGACTCGCCGCGAACTCGGTGCGGAAGACGGTAGGCAGTCGTTGAGTCGTTAATTTCTGCTCTCGTTCGTTCCTCCCTCGGAGTAGCCCGTGCACCTACAAACAGACAGCTTGAGGCGAGAGAGGCAGAGGACCGCACAAGGCACAGCTTTCCACACGACTGCCAAGCCGTTGGAATCTTTACCTTGAGCAGGTGCGGCTACGAACCAGCAGCTTCCTCTGAGTTGAAGCAGCAAAAAAGCATCTTCCAACGGGGGGGGAGGAGGGATGGAGAAGGCCTTTTTGACCGTGCAGGAAGGCGACACGAGAGTGGTTCATTGCCATCCGGCACGCCACTTTCCTGCAGAATCCGCGTAGACTCAGTGTAGCCATACCTGACACATCTGGCATCTTCTGCCCTCGACACCTGCGCAGCTGACATCATCTGACATGCGGCAGAGCACTACAGAGCCATGCAGAACCCGTCGAATCCGTAGACCTTCTATGTAGCTGTACAAAGCACACGAACTGCAACATGCCACAAAGAGCGACAACCTCTTCTTCCGGCTTTGCCCCGGTAAAGGTAAACAGGATGTATTGCTTGCTCGGTGCACGCGGCGCTGATGGACATCTCCCCCACTGCTAAGCGGCGTCGCCAAGCCTCGAAGCCCGATGTCGAAAGCCCAGTCACCATTGCGGTCCATCACACGGTTGACCCCCGATTGGCTTTTCCAAATCCATGACAGTTGGACGCCTCTGCGCAGCTTCCAATTGGCGCTTTCCGCGAGGCAGGGTTGGAAAACAGGGATCCACGCAATGATCTGGAACAGAAAGCTGTTCGCCTCGTCCCATATATCGCATACATTCCCTCACTCCATGTCGCGCGCAAAGAAGCTATTAGCAACTGCAGCACTGGCAAGGACATCGTCAAGGCCGTCCAGCAGCATCGGGTCGTCGTCCTTGTTGGAGAGACTGGGAGCGGAAAGACTACGCAGGCAGGGGGTACCTGTATTCTCAGACCTTCTTGCAAGTAAAACCGTGATGTTTCAGGGTCCTGCAGGTGCCTCGCTTTCTTTATGAAGCTGGCCTCAGTCGAAGACCGGACCGAGCGCAGCAAATCATTGCTGTGACGCAGCCTCGGCGCATTGCCGCGATCAGCGCCGAGGGCTTAGAAAGGATTCTGAAAGTCACGAAGCGAACGGGGTTCATCACAGAGGCTCTGTCCCCTCGAAAGTGCAAGCAGCCGCAGACAGGAAGCTTCATTTCCAGAAAAACCAACTACTACTGGCATTGAAGGTACAATCAAGTGGGTGACAATCTATAGAGCCGTCGGAGTCCGCCCGAGGGATATCACTGGTATCCAGTAAATACTACTCAGTACCCGGTAGTAAGATGGTTAGACTGGAGTTTTTCTGACGGACCAGCGTCCAGCCTCAGACGGAGTCATATCTTTGCCATGCATCGCACAGGTCGCCAATCATGTCGCATCCGAAATGGGCTGCCAAGTTGGAGGCCGGGGACGCCACAGGGATTGCACGATTTCGATGAAGCTGTGAGTTGGACCTTGACTTCCGCAAACACAGTTATATGGATGTCGTCTACGCAGCAGCGCTACCACCTGCGAGAACATGCGGCACGTGCTGTTTTATCAGGTGGCACCATGAATGTACCCCTCGTTGGATTCAGGTCTCGTTGGGTATCACGTGCGGTTTCTGAACCGTACATCACGTGAAACCGTGCTGAAGTGCGCAGCGTTTCGACCACTACACGTGGCTGTCTTGTACCGCTGTTTGCAGCACTTTGCTTCGGCTGTCGGCACGTCCCGATGCATTCAGGTATATGACCGACGGTATGCTTGTCAGAGAGTCGGCTTGGGAATCAGCAGAAGGACAAGGTTGCGCTTTGTTTGTGCATCAGTCGTGTGATCCGAGCACTATCCTCTTTGTTGGAGGTCACCATTCGGGGCTTCGCGCTTGTTCCATTGTTGTTCTGGATGAAGCGCACGAGCGCATGACTCGGGAGATGCAGGGTGATGATTGATGGAGCCCAGGAAACACTACGAAACACTGAAACACTGTTGAGGCGGAGTATAGACACAGACATCCTGCTGGGCCTCGTGAAACAGGCAGCTTCTGAGGGACCTATGCCGAACAATGCCGGACAGTCGCAGACACGAGCTGCAGCAGGCACTGGAGAAAGGCGAGCCACCGGATCTACGAGCCCGGCACTAAGGCACTAAGCACCAAGGAGGCACATTTCGGAGTACCCTTTGTGCATGGTCATCGGTTCATCCTGCCCTGGGCATTTACCTGAGGTTGTGGTCATGTCTGCTACCATCCATGCCGCCCCTTTTGTCGATTTTTTTGGCGGTTCCAAAGAGGCATGTTGCACGCATTTGCACGTCGAGGAAGGCATATGCACACGCAGCAACATGCTGATACAAGGATGTACCAGTAATGTTGAATCTGACAGGTCCACTTGCTGAAGGTGCCGGGACGCCAGCATGCTGTGTCACTTTGCTGCGCAAAAGGTTCACAAAGCCACAAAGCCTACAAAGCCCGCACACACACACAGAGAGACAGACACAGACGATGGCAGGGGGGTAGCATGAGCTAAGGCAATTGTACTACACTCCGTCTCCTGAGCCTGACATCCTCGAGGCTCCTCAGCTGCCCTCTGTGACCTGGGAGCTTCAGACCTCGGTCTCTTAAAGCTCTTCTTTAGGGCCTTTAGGGTTTAGGTAGGGTTTAGGGTTTAGTTAGGGTTTAGGGTTTAGGGTTTAGGGTTTAGGGTTTAGGGTTTAGGGTTTAGGGGTAAGAGTGCTTTGCTGGATTCACCTGTCTGAGGCCGCAATGTTGGCGGTTCTCCAGTTACATGTCACGCGCCCTGCCGGAGATGTTCTCGTCTTCCTGCACGGAGCTCAGCCTCTTGAGAATATTTAGGGTTTAGGGTTTAAGGTTTAGGGTTTAGGGCTTAGGGACTATGGAAACCACTAGAATTCTTCATGACAAGTACGTTCCAGAGCTGGACTGGTGTTTAATTAAGCCCATGGAGCAGCAGATGAGCCCCAAAGAAATCCGCCAAAGCTACTCGAGTCAGTCAGTCCCAGACCATTTCTTTCTCACAATCCCTCTCCCTCTCTCTCTCTCTCTCTCTCGTGCGCGCGCTCGTGCGCAGTCCTTTCTCGGAACCCCTCCTAGGCCCGGGCAGGAGGAGATCGACGGCTTGCAGCGGCTGCTTGAGGAGAAGCAGGCAAAGGGTATTCATCGCGGCACATGACTTCACGTGCATGTTGCAAAGTAAAACTGTTATTACATGACATGTACTGTACGTACGAATCGCCTTGCGGTTGCATGGAATGTCAGCTGTTTTGAAGAAGATTAGCAAGCAAAGGCGGGTCTGTCGGGGTTGCGATTTGGCAGTTGGATTGGCTGCTTGAAGAGCATTAGATCATTAGATGCTATTTGGGCGAGTTTCTGCCGTGTAGCAGTGCCGTCGCTTCGAGGACGTCCTCGCAAAACAGAGGTGGTCCTGCACCTGCACTCACTGCGCTCATGCCGTCAGTTCTGCGTTCCGCGAGATGTTTCTTAAAGCCTTTTTTGGCTGCTCTGAGAGGCAAGACCATCCTGAAAAGCGCATCCTTGAAGTATCAGGTGCACTTCGGGTGCACGAGAGGGAACTCTTAGCTGCTAATCGCCACTGCAATTCGTGAGGTGACCAACCTGGTGCCTTCGCTACCCACGCCTGGCCGACTTTTCAAACCGTCCGCTGTTGCGTGTTTTGTTTCGCTCACCGATGCTCTAATTTTCGTTCCAAGACTCTCGACACACCTCCACATGGGTTGCCTTTCGCTCGATGATGGTGGTGATGATCATGATCACGATCATGATGATCATGATCATGATCATTGTCATAGTCATGATGTTAGCATTCATTGCCTGTCGGTTCCACGTGAGCTTCGGGATGCTCAGTTTTTGCTGCGAGTGCATGCCAGGTGCTGAACATCTTCGTCAGGCCCATCTACGCAGCCTTGCCTTTCGAACAGCAGGCCACAGCATCAAGACCTACGCAGTCGAACCACTTGTCCAGAGTTGTCCCGGAAGATGCTTGGAAGATGAAGTTTTATCAGTTTTGTTGCGAGGAGCAGGTCTTTGAGGCGACGCCTCCCGGGCGCCTTCGCTGTGTTGGTTCACGGCTTCTCTTCCAGCTACACGCTACAAGAACAACTTCCGAGCAATTCCCCTGCACGCAGAGGTGTCGCAAAGTCGTGCTGGCCACGAACATTGCGGAGACCTCGATTACAATTCCTGGGATTCGCTACGTGGTGGACACTCCCCTGAGTCCATCTGGGCTGTCAGACATTCTAATGCTGTCATCCATCTGTCATCTGCTATGGTTTCTGACCATAGGGGGCGGAGAGCTGGGGAAGGACACTGGCATCATGAAGCTGAAGATGTGCCATCCGCAAACAGGCATCGAGATGCTGAGGAGCGAGTATGAGTGAGAGCAAGAACTTGTAGACCGAATGCTTCAGCTGCTCTTTGCAAGGACGGTGGAGACTTCCCAGGCCTCAGCAATTCAGCGTGCTGGGCGTGCAGGCGACATGTTGCGCTTCACTCACATCATGCTCCATCCGAGCTCGAAGCAATTGAGAAGCAGGACGAGAGGCGCCCGGAGAAGTGTTTCGCCTCTATGTGGAGCTGCGGCCTCACAAAGTCTCAGCAGTTCATGGCACATGGCATGGATGCATGTTGCAACGTATACTCATCACCTGAAAGGTCCGACTACCAGAAGATGCCCGTGCAAACTCCAGCTGAAATTTTGCGCCTCGAAATGGCCTCCGTCTACATCAACTTGAAGGTGTCTCACCTGTGTCTGATGCATCTGACTTTTCCTTGTGTTTTATGCGTGAGGCTCTTGGAATCTCGAAGATCGCAAGTTTTCCGTTGGCGCCCTTCTCATACGCGCAGTCGGCGCGCTGGGTCGTCTTGTGTGCGGGCGCGTCCATTCAGCGACATCCGAGGTGGATAGGCCGTCCCGAGAAGCTTTAGAGAAGGCAGCCCACTTTCTCTGCCGGATCGGAGCTCTTGACTCAAGAGATGCCTGGATCCAAGAGCGATGCGGGATTTCCCCCTTATACGAACACTCCTGAACAGGGATTCTCGTAGCCCCTATTATCATCCCTATGAAGGACTATTAGTATAAGGGGGAACATCCCTTGTGCGAGGTCTTGGTGAGCTCGGCCGATGCTCTTGATAAAAACGACGGCCGAGGCCCTCACAGATCTTGGAAGAAAGCTTGCGGCCGTACCAGTGCATCCAATGCGCCATCGGCTCTGTTTCTGGCATTTGCACACCACAAGTTTGGCAGCCCGAAAGTTTTCCCCCTACACATTTGTGAAAGAGAAGCCCTCCAGGTACGCCTACTGCCTCCATGTTTCTCTTGAGTTTGAATGTGTTGCAGAGATCTTGAGCCGAAAGCTGAGCAACATGCAGTCCAGACCACGAATGAGCAAAGCCGTGTGCTCTGTTCTTTCAGGCATCGTTGCGTTGATGTCGGCAGACGCGCAAATCTTCACAACTTCCAAGAAACAACGCAGCTGTCTCGGACTGTCTCTGAAGCACCGGAGCCTCGGAGCACCGGCGAAACGACAAAGGAAGCTTTTGCTGCTTTTGCTCAGGTGCCCAGCAGGCCAAGCCTTTCCACGAGGAGATGCATGTCGTTTGTCACAGAAGATCCGGCCACTGTAGTATGAATTGTAGTCTGCCATTGTCGCAACCCGAGGGTATTCTCGATGAATGACACTGCAACAGAATTGTGCTCTGAATGTGGGAGGGCTGGGGAGGGCCATCACATGCCATCACGAGAGGATGGGGATCACCTGTCACTTCTCTCGGCATTCAGCCAGTGGCGGAAGGAGAAGAAGCCAAAGGACGGAGACTGCTCAGTGACTACTCTGTTCAAGTTGAACCTTTCAGCTCAAACCCACGGAGAATCAAAGATCTACGGATCTCTGGAGGCTTACGCCGCCGAAAACTCCCTAAGCCATTCGGCACTGGAAAAGGCGGCCCGGAGCTCGGGGAAGCTCTGAGATGCTTTGAAAATACCCTTTCTGAGCAAGATGTTGATGTTTTTTTTGAGTCTGTGATATGCGAAACACGGAGGAAACGATTCGGAAGCAGCTGAAAGAAAGGATGCAGCAGGCGGGTGCCTTCGAGCAGTATCATTCGCCAAGAGTTTGGACCTCATTGACCCTGACCTGCCAGGCGTGGCATGCAAACATCTCAAGCTGCGGGGGGCACGGAGCTCAGCAGGAACACACGGCTGAGGGTCTCTGGCCAAAGCGAAGTTCGCCCGCCGTGCTTGGGGGCGTCCTAACATGTTCGACATGCGTTTTGCCCAGAAGTTTCCACGTGGGCGCATGGTGGGCCCCTAGGCCCAAGAACTGGGTGGTGGTGAAGAGGTGCCTCTTGAAGGCTTCCTGCTGCAACTGCTCGTAATTTAAGATTACAGTTGCTCACAATTGCTCTCCCCCGTTGCGACGTGTTCCGACCGTTGAGCTCTTGTACTGGCAGGGCCTCTTCCTTCAGACAGCAATGCGGGACGAGGTGAACCAGACCACTTACCGAACACTGCTTTCCAGACAGGTACGCCAAGCTTCCCTGCTAGCTTCTGTTGGCTTCCTACTGAGTAAGGCAGTTCTTCGTCGAAGATAATCATACAGGGCGACTCGTGGTTGACACTCTTCATCGCTTTTCTTGGCTTTCGGGAGGCGAGGGTGGGCTCTGCCGGAAAGGCTAAAGAACGGCCCTGTCACTCATGCTCATGGTCACTCAAGTCATTTCGAGGAGGAGAGAATGAAGGAAGGAAGCTGGGATCCCGAAAATGACTGCAAGAAACAATTATGCACGCTCACGGCAGCATCCTAGGACGTGCGCAATAATGCAACAACCGCATTGCATGAATTACAGGTACTTGTAGTATACCAGCGCCACGTCCTTCGTTTACAGAGGACCGCGGGTGGAATGTGCTAATTGCCGGTACTGGCCATCCATCCGGCTAGTCTAACACTTGTTGTCGGTATCGGGCCACGGAAATGACATCCGATTTCCTTTTGCACTATCACGGTTGCAATTCTCGTCCGCGAAATTCGCCCGTTGCTTCGGGGAACCGAGCTCCACAAAACGTGACATCGGTAACGCGCATGTGTGGGAATCTGATGAAACCTGTTATTGTAAAAGTATTCATTGTTGTGACACGTTGTGACTTTTTCGGTTGCTACTACGACGACTACCACTGCCACTGCTGCGGCTGCTACTACTACTACTACTACTACTACTACTACTACTATTACTACTACCACTACCACTACGATTACTACTACCACTACCACTACCACTACCACTACCACTACCACTACCACTACTACTACTACTACTACTACTACTACTACTACTACTACTACTACTACTACTACTACTACTACTACTACTACTACTACTACTACTACTACTACTACTAACTACTACTACTAACTACTACTACTAACTACTACTACTTCTACTACTACTACTACTACTACTACTACTACTACTACTACTACTACTACTACTACTACTACTACTACTACTACTACTACTACTCTACTACTACTACTACTACTAACTACTCTACTACTACTACTACTACTACTACTACTACTACTACTACTACTACTACTACTACTACTACTACTACTACTACTACGACGACGACGACGACGACGACGACGACTACGACTACGATGACTACTATGACTATTATGACTACTATGACTACGATGACTACTACGACTACTACGACTACTACGACTACTACGATTACTACGACTACTACGACTGCTACGACTACTACAACTACGACTACTACGACGGCGACGACGACGACACCCGGCTACACTACGAAGGCCAAACCTAATTGCGTCCAATGAAAGCATTTTTGCGCATGCTAATTTCAGTGCTACGATGCAGATGCTCTGTGTGTGTATCTATATAGAATGTATCATCGCGAATCGAATGTCAGAGCTGTTGAAGGAGGCGATGTCCCAACCCAATTGCAACCCAGCAAGCCGCAGAGATCAGGAGGCCAAGCTACACCCTTCCAGTGTGCTTCACCGCCGCCAGCCGTCACCGTCGCATTGGCTGCATTAGTCTTCCATGGAACAACTTTGGAATATGTTTGGTTCGCTCGAGGGTGAGGCCGCCTTCCTGTGTTTCTGCGTACAGTGAGGCCCTGCGTCGTGTACTCCGAGCTGGTGATGACCAGCAAGAGCTACTTGCGAACGGTAACTGAGGCTTCCGTTCTCTTTCATCCGACCCCTCAGAGCACACCAATCCACCTCAGGAAGCTTTCTGAGAATCCCTCTTTTCGACATACATCAGCGAAGGGCTGACCAGAACAGGTTGCATGAACGGTGGAAATAAAAGCTCATAAGAATAGCTTGTGCCAGTATGTTTATGCCTTAGGTAGTAGACCAGGGTCAAGATTTGCTCAAGCCACCAGAGTTGCCGTAGGTAGCTAGGTCCTTGAAAGAGGGCAATCATTTTCCGAGAGGGTGGTGATGCTGAGCCTTTCCAATTCAGTGCATCTTGCAAAGCAAGAACCGCTTCCTTTCACCAACAGGCTGGACAGGGAGCAACCCAGAGCATGCTCCAGCTGGACCCCAGCTGATCTCGCAGTGGCTGCCTCCTTGGCAGGGGTCTTTGTGGATTTCGTGGACCGGCGCCGGGCAAGATGGCCACGAATGCCAAGGAGCAGTGCCTCGTCTGTCAGGGCCGTCGGATCAGAAACCTCAGGAACTGACATCATCCAGAAATTCGAAACCCTGACCGCAACTAGGCAATTGGCAGAACGATCTGGCGACCAAGAAGTTGTAAGCAGGATTGATGCTCTTCTCAAACAGGAAGAAGAGAGCAACCCTGTGGCAGCCCTTGCATGGCGGCAGCAACGTCGCCTCCAAGTTGCCTGTGACACTGTTCTGCTCGGGGTCCAAGACCCGCTGCCGGCAAGGATACAGGCCATCAGCGTGCTGAAGGATCTGGCAGCGCCACCGCTGCCCACCCCAGGTGCTGAAGACGCCCTTTTTCGCATCCTGCGTGAAGTTGTGGGAGCAGATGCCGCTGTGCTCAGGCAGGCTGCAGACGACGCCCTCTGGCATGTTTGGCACCAGACAGAGGATGAGGATGCAGCAGGGATGATGAGGAGAGGCCGTACATTGATGGAAGGCGACCGAATCTCCGAGGCCTTGCAGGTCTTCTCTGAGCTGGTGAAGGAAGCCCCTTTCTTTGCAGAGGCTTGGAACAAGCGAGCCACTGTTTATTACATGCTTAAGGAGTTTCAGCAGTCCGTTGATGATTGCAAGAAAGTGCTGGAGCTTAACCCACGGCACTTTGGCTGCCTATCTGGTCTTGGCATGTGCTACGCGGCTCTGGGGGAACCCGAAACTGCCGCCCACTGGTATAAGAAAGCCCTCAGCGTACATCCCTTCATGCAGGGGCCACGCAAAGCACTGGATGGCCTCGAGAGGGAGAAGTACGTGGAGAACTACCTCAGCCCGAGAGTGCAGACTGCTGTGGAGTCCTTGACCGGGGACGCTTTCTGGCCAGCTGAGAACCCTGAAGGCATCCATCTGGAATGGGACGTGCACCGCATTAACGTAGACAGGGCCGCCAAGAATCCCAATGCGGGTGCCAACACATACTTCTTTCGTGCCTTGGTCAGAAACAAGGCCCTCGGAACACGCCAAGTTCGTAGCTTGGCTCGCTTTTACGCCCTTCGCTTTGCGTGCGGAAAGATTTACCCATTGAGACGCCCTACTTATGGCCAGGCCGAGTTTGTTCTGGAGCCTGGTGAAGAGTACAAGTACTCCTGGGTATTCACAACCGACACCGATTTGATAGGAATGGTCGGAGGCATGCTGCTCGAGCGTTTGGACCGTGTTGATGCAAGTGACGCCGACCGCTTCTTGTTTGCCAGCCTTGGACAACTTTCTTTTTCTGAGGCACCGATGGTGCCCATGCACAAAGTGGAGTCATTGAACCAGGAGCACATATACATGGGCGAGTTGACCTTCAAAGCCTCTCGGGACTCATAACTTGAGCACGTCGCTCCATCTACCGGATCTAGCGTGGTGCAGAACCAGTCGAGCCATTTCTGGAGATGCGAAGATGCTCGGGGGGCATGCGTGGCAGTCACATGTTCGAATTCTTCGAATGATGTTTGCGCATTTCGTTCCTCGGCGCGAACAAAAATGCATCTGGCTCCGCTGCCTTCAGGTGTTCTGTGTTCGCGCGGCCATACAAATGCTTTTGATCTAGCTAGGTGTACGAGAGCTCCGACCTGAGCGTGAACTTGAAACTGACAGGTGAATCCGGCGTGGCTTCCAGAACTGTGTCCCAAATTCTTCAGTGCGAACCCCAGAATGGTCGCGGAGTTTTCGATGCCCGGAGCATTCGCTGTGACACTAGTGGCGCTAGTGGCAAGTTGCATGGTTCCATCATGGTGTCCTTCATGCGAGTGCCTCGTTGACCCGTGGTGACCCTCTCTTTCCCAGCGCAATGGCAAGATTTCAAGCAGGTAAAGATACCAATGTGTAAACGGGACTGGTTTTTTCTTTAGTTTGGGGTGTGGTGATCCTTGTCGGTGTACAAGGGAGAACTACGACAGGGACCTGTAGGCAAAAAAACCTCAAACTGGCTCAGACCCTGAACCCTTCGATGCAGCCTGGAGAATCTCCAGAAGTACAACCGCGAATTCCTCGTAAGAAGAAGCCCCCACCATCGTCTTCTTACTGGACCTTTCGAGCGCCAGGGGCATGACAGCTGCCATTCACAACTTCGCTTTCAGTCCGGAACCTGGCCGGTCGCAGCTTCCAATTTGCGAAATTTCGCGAAGCGGGAATTATAAAGGCACAGACTCTTCCAAGCCAGGCCTGGGAGTCCCCGGCCTTGATGATCAAGGGGTTCTGCGAGTCTCCGAGCTTCGCAGCTTTAACCTCAGCTTGGTGTCCATTGCAAACAACTACGCCAGTGCCCGTGCTCAGCTCCCAACTTCCGCTCTTTGCAGCCATCGCAGCCAGTCAACACAATGCGCAAGATAACGATAGCAGCAACCTTCAAAAGTTGAACACCGTTGTTTCTGGCAGTTTTTATGTCTAAGACACGGGTGCTTGCAGTGAACCATGCTTACTAATCGAGTCTACAACTCCTGAAAGAGCTCACAACTGCAGCCTTCGTGTCGCCATGCTGTCAAGCGTATCCAGCGATCTCTCTGCCGGGAGAGCTGGGGGTGGCCTCGAGTACCATCTGCCATCGCACCTGGCACGTGCTCAGGAGGCCTACAATCGGGTCTCCGAGCACCTGACCAACATCAAGTCCTCGCGGGCGCGGGTGAACCGATCACCCCCGCCCGCGCTGCCTCAGGATCAGGCCGAGGCACTCGGAACTTCCAGTGACCTGGCACAAGGCGCCGCGCGCCAGTTGCAGGACCTCAATGTGGCCATTGAGGAACTGCGAGGAGGCCTTGGTGTGATGCAGGAATCCCGTGCAGCACACTTGGCCTTGAGGGCTGAGATCAGTGATGACTTGCAGTCATCCGAGCTGGCGCTGTGGGACGCGCACGTCGTCCCCAGCATCCTAGCCGCCAGCGGAATCTGCTTGACCCCGAAGAGCGCGCAGAGCGCGCCCGATCGGCCAGAGCCGAGGGAAGAGCGAAGTGTGCAGGCCGTGTTCTTGTTTCTCTTGAGCTTTTGTGAGTCAGTCGGGATCAAGGTACTCCCGACCCTCTGGGCTTGTTTTCGTTTCCTCAGCATCGTCCGTGGACCAGCGGTGGGCTGCGGGGGGGGATCTGTAGGGTTTGCCGGGGAGGCAACTTTCAGAGGGCGGGGGCTGCACCAGTGCTCCGGGTAGGGGCATCCAGTCGTTCAGACAAACGATCAGGCAACAGACGCTTGTGCTGCCGTGCCAAACCTACGAATGGGATTCCCTGCTGGCCCAACTCGCTCGCCGCAGCAGGCCCCAATCGGAGCAAGCAACGCAGTGTACCCAACACCCAGTCTAATCACGTCATGTAAACACAAAGAACCGTTTGGCAAGACTCTTCATGCTCTGAGGCATGCGAACCTACAAGAGGATGACAAATATCACATGCCAAGTTTGATCCTAACATTATACATGATGCAAATGGTACTGTAATGACAACCTTGTTCTTTGCTTATTTATGCAAATAATAAAAATGATCTTCACGCGTGTTCAAACAGGGTGGTCATGCAAACAAAACGGCCACTGTCGCCACAACGGCGGCGACTCAGTGGCGAGCATCAGGAGGTTGGAAATCGCTTCGTCGTGCATTGTCATTGTATTCCGAGTATAGTAGGCTCGTAGATACTGATTACTAATTGTTACTCACACATTCGATACGGGCTTTCCGAGAACCGAACTTCGTAGACCGCTGAACCGCCGTTTTGTTTCGGCCGGGTTGTGAGCTAAGCTTAGCCGAGCTATTACATGATCAGGGTTGATCCAATAAACATGAGCTGATACGCAGGTCTACCGTTTGACCCCCCCCCCCCCCCCCCCCCTCCCTCCCCCCCCCCCCTAGAGTTGCGGGCTTTCTCGTGTTACTCGATTGGCCGCGCGGCTTGTGCTCAAATCGGGGTCGTCTTTAGGGCCTGCCAAGGGGGGTAGGTACCGAGAAGGAACACGGAACCCTTTCCTGATGGCCCCGCTGCGCTGTATTTGGACTATCATGGTTAGACATTCTTTATAGATGCGCGTGTATGATCTGCACGCGGTGGCGGTAGCTTCAGGGTTGCTCCCAATTTCGCCAAGGTACTCTCGTATTAGATGCATACTCTAAACGCCACGCTCTGATAAGTCCAATATTAGTCCTATACCTTCGAAAACCCATGTTGAAGTACGATAGCTTTTAAACACGAAACTAGGATCGTTGGGGATAGAAAACGAAGTTCTAGACAATTACAAGGAAAATGACGGTTTCGATGCGTTACAGACACCTGTAATGCATCGACGCACTTCTCTTGCAGGCAAATAGCTGCTAGCGAGTCCGAAAAGGGCAGCACGTCACACACGTTGGATATAGTTTTGGTATTTTGTGTTTTTTGGGGAGGATCCCTGTCGAAGCCACTTGTGTGTGCCTTTATGCTTAGGAAGATGGCTTCAGGTGGGTTTAACTAGAATTCCGAGTTCATCTGAACTGCATTGTCTGCCTGATCACCCCCTGCAGTAGATGAATGAGGGTGATACTCTGATAACTCTGACGCTTCGTTGAAGGAACCTGCGCCGGCAAGCCCCAGAGAAGACAGTACAGCGCGTACAGCGAAGAGTCCGCCGAGTGCGCCACGTACACCTATCCGACCTCCAATGCATCCGCTGCGGGTGGGTCAGAGTCCTCCTGCATCCAAGGTGCGCCCCCCGTTCAAAGCTTTGGTATGGACAGCAGGAAGTGCTGTGCGCAGTGTATCACAGTGTGCCACAGTGTGCCACAGGCGGGCAGCCCTACCAGAATCACGCCCATCTCCTGGACGCGGCCGATGAGCCCCAAGGCCTCATGCGGTATTTAAGGGTTCTTCGAATTCTGCTGCTGTAGCGGTAGCGTGTGGAGAGTGTGTACCTTGTTCAATTTGCTACATTGCTCTTGTTCAGGACAACATCCGAGAAACGCGCGAGCGGCCTTCGCCCGGTTTGAGACGGGTCCCCCCGTTTCCTGGAACTGTTTGATGCAATGAGTATGCAATGGTTCTTTGCTGGCACAAAAAGGTTGCGGCCATATGCCACGTAGGATGAAGCTGTGCAGAAGAAAGGGTGCAATAGTGCAATGGAGGCCAGGCACACGCACCACGTCATTGGCTTCGAAAGGGCCTCGCTTCCGTTTGCTTGTTGCGGATGCGAATGCACAAGTCAATGCTGCCAAGGCCGGGCCGCAGCAAATGGAGGCTGGGGGTGCTGTGTCCAAGCCTGACTCCAGGCACCAAATCGCATCGACATCTACTGCACGTAGTAGAGACACAGATTTCCAGGATCTCCTCCGCCTCCGCCGCTTTCGTGACGCTGTCCGGATTCTTGCGCACCTGTTTGTGACACTGAGGGACTTGAAGATGTCCTGATTCCTAGGCTTCTTCACCGGTTGGCCACAGTAGTGTGAACCGTGTGCGCGCAAGACCTCATCTCAGAGGCGTTGGCCAGGATCTGCAAGACGCGACTGCTCAAGCCACCTGCCTTCTGGACGGCCAGGACTTGCTGCGTCGGCTAAAAAGGAGTCGGCTTCTGCATTGCAGCTTAATGTGGGTACACCTTTTTTTGGGGGCCCATTGTTTGTGGGCATTTGTTTTTCTTTGGGGGGGGGGGGGGTATGGTTTAGGGTTTACTAAAACGTGGCAAGAGATGGCCAAAGCGGGGGCCCCAGCTTGCCAGCGTACCCGATCTCGTGAGCTTGGGAGTTCTCACTCGACTTTTTCACATCAAGGAAGAGAGAAAAGGCTTCCCCGGAAGGAAGAGAGTAGTTTCCACGGTGCCATTTTGATTAGTGATGTGTGGTTTGTGTGAACCAATTCCGCAGCCATTGTCGCGTTTAAATCGGAACTTGTCCAGGAAAGATGCCTGAAGTCGTGGGTGCATGCTTTGACGCGGCAGAGCCGTTCGGCTGCGACATGGGCAACAACTTGTTGATGGAACGACTTTTGGGCGGTAATCTGCATGAAGTCTACGTGCGCCACCAATTCTGGGCCAAGAGCAAACATGCCAAGTTTTACGTTGCAGGTGCATTATGCGGTCTGGCACACCTACACTCGTGCCGAATTGCATAGAGAGATTGGGTCAATGGAGAACGTGGCCCTCAACCAACAGGGCTACCCAAAGCTCATCGATATGGGATGTGCCAAGAAGTTCAGTGGGAAAACATCTACGCAATGTGGGACGCCTGGCTACTGCGCTCCAGAGATCGTGCGTGGAAAGGAGTACGATCACACAGTCGACCCCTGGAGCATAGGCATTTTCATCTTTGTGCTGATGACTGGGCGTATGCCCTTCGAAGGGTCCTCACCCATGGAGACCTTGAACAATGTCTTGGGGTGTATAT